TACAGGATTTTCTGGGCCGTAATTCTTAATGCTGTACAATTACCTAATGGCCATCGTCAGCTTGTGTCAATGTAGACACACTGTGTGTGTGCGCGCATGCGAAATGTGCGCGCGTGTAATACAATAAACATTTATTGCATTCTCATTTAAAATGGCGATAATGTTTGAATTTTGTATTGCATGCCCTCACAGCTCTCATGCCGTCTGTCATTGAACAGACATTCTTTTTTTGTCCATTTGATCTCTCAAGCCAACCACTTTCAAATTCACCACACATTGCCATTTTTTGACCGGATCCATGTTTGATTATCGACAAATAGAAAAAAAATCACACACCATTCAATTCTTTGTTATTGCAAATGTTTGACATTGCTGCTGTTATCTCATGAATTTGCTATTGTTATTTGTGCAGTGTTTGATGTCGTGATCATTCTAAAATAAACATTCACTCTTTCGATTGAATGTGGTGCGCTAGAGCGATGTTTGTTCTAATTGCGCCAATCGTCGCTGCCGTGAAAAGTGATTCCGTCAATCGACTCTTACTGATCTTGGGCAATAATACGAATTACATGTTGTGCCATTGGTTTTCCCTCTGTCCTTTTTCCCACTTCTCATTTCATTTATTATGTGCGGCAAACCAAAACAATAACTGATTGAATGGAACGAGCGCCCATCTCGTCTTATGTTTACTAGTCATTATGACCTTCGAGATTGAATAATATCGTGTATTTGTGACGAGAAAATAAATGAAAGATTGAGAGAGGAGAAACAAAAACCACAGATATATATATATTCTGAAACGGCAGCCGCAATGAGCAATCACAACACTTGCACAACATTCATAACATAACCCATAACAATAACCGTGAAGGAAAAAGGAATATAATCATAAAAAAATCACTTATTGACTGAAGTTTTGTTTGCACATATTTTGCGGCCAAGCAAGAACACCAGCAATAACAAAATACCAATTGCTGTGTGCATAATAGAATGATGGTTTGGCGGCTGTTGCGACGGTGGCGACGACGGCGCATATCCATTAGCCATGCATCGCACATCCCATTCTTCTAAACTCGGCGTGTACATCATCAAATAAGTATAAAAATGGTGAAAACAATAAATTAGATTTGCGATCGTCAATGCTCACGCTTGCTCGTTTATTTTATCTCTATTCGCGTTCTGCGCGTTTTTTTTTTTGTTCATTTCGTGTTTGTTTCGGTTTTAAAATGAGATTACCGCGCGCATCTGGTTCTGGCAATTTCATTCTGACTTATGAAGGCTCATGGCATTTTTCGCGCAAAGATTTGCCGTACATTTTTTTTTCTCTTTCGTTCAATCAGCGTTTTGCTGAACATCTTGAGCTGAGTTGATGTGAATTAATCGATTGGAAAAGTATTTTGCGCAAATCTTCAAACCAAATTGAATCGAAGCGATAAATGCGCTTTCGATTCAAATAAAAAGCAAAGAAAGCAGTAAAAATTCAATTCGTAATTGAATGAAAAACAACATTGTGCCAAGTGTAGAGATATCTTTCTTGGTACGCCGTTAATAATCTCTCTCTCTTCATTGTTATTGAATGTGCACAGATTGAAGTGGATTCGGGCAATCTGTAAACGGTCAGTGAAACTTGAGAGAGTTCATTGTGCATTTAGTAAAATATTCGAAAAATGTTCCTTAAAATGCTCGAACAAGCGAACAAAATTTAACCGAAATGCACAACCGGACAGATAAAAGAGCTCGCACAACACAAATAGTCAATATACACTTTACGATCCTGTTTGCTTGCCCAACCAAATGGCCAACATTTATTTTTTGACCTTTTATCGTTTCAAAGTATTATTTATTACCATTTCAACTTTCAATGTATTGTCAATATTTAAATATGGGTGTCGAGAGCCGACGAAGGGGCAAAAAGTGCATCCGAAAATATACACATGATGAATAACATTGTTTGGTTTGTTTAAAACGCAAAAAAGAGTTATTACACATATTTATAAGCCTAAGCCTTTTTGTACACTTTCCTTTCTCTCTCTTTATTCTTTTGTTGTTCCGTTTGCTGCGCTCCAATTTGAACAAATTGAAATGTTTTAGTGCGGGTTTTTTTCCGTTTGTTGTTGTTTGTTTTGTGTGTGTACGCTTCCTTCTTCAGTGGGAATTTTCACAAGCCATTCGAAATTGATTACAAATGGTTGGTTCCGCACAAGCAGCCAGATGACCGATGTGTAAACACAAAATTATGTGAATAATGGCACATAATGTAACAATTTCTATAACAATCGGAATGAAGAAGAGAGAAAAAACGCCCAAAAAAGAGGAGAGAATCCGAACAACGAAACGCATTATGCACATGAATAATAAAGAACCATAAATTTATTGTTTACATAAATAATGTGCTCAAATCTACGGCTACTGAAGCTTAAAAATATGCGCTCATAGTTACTGGTTAAGTCATTTTCGACGCGTCACCACACGCTACGCACTGCCTGCACACACACACACACATTTATACATTTCTCTTCACACGCATTTCATTATCGGCTTTTGGTTTGATCAACCGAGACATTTTTTCAATTCTTCGGATTCCAAAAAGTGAAAATAAACAAAAATATTCGAGCAAAAAAGAAATGTTTCGTTCAGAATAAATACCAAGGCTTCCGAATGAATGAAACGGAACTTATATGACAGGCCTATGAGTTCAAACGAGATCGTTGATATTAACATAGTTATTTACAACAAAAACAAAAAAAAAATCTGTTTACACTAAAGTTAATATAGTCAAAGACCTACTTAAAATTTCACCAAAATTTGAATGAATGAAAAAAAAAACTAATATAAACATGTTCATTTATCAACTAAATGCATGCGAAGCAGTCATCGATGCAGCATACCGATAGAGAATGAACTCATAAGAAGAGGGAGGCACAAAGGAAAGCGAAACAAGAGAAAGAAAATCGAACTAAGACGTTAAAGCGGCGATAACGATTTAAAATGTGTTAATAAAATTTAAATAAGCACTTTTACACCATTTAAATTGTCAACCAAGTGAAATTGGTATGAATTAATATTAATTTGTATTTAATCAGTGTGGCATGCGGTCTGGCATACAATATCGAGTTACGCATTAAATTTATGGTGAATGCGCCCCATCCCGCATTCATAATTTGCATTTGTTTTATGTATTGTGGTGGTTTAATGTCCGTTGATCTTTGCGACTTTGCGATACAGAGAGAACGTTTGCACCCATCATCGCTGTGTTTTAATGGGGTTTGCATGCAAATTTCTTATCATCCCACGAGAAGCAACGAGATACTTGTGACAATTCCATAAATGAAGCGACACAATGACATCGACTGGAGCCAAGAATTTTCAAACCGAAAAACCATTCATTATTAGAATCGATTGGGTTGCTGCATCATCGTCGTCGCCGCCGACATTTTTGTTCGTCGCCGTCGAAGGACAATTCGAATCTTTTATTAGTTCCATTTGTGTTTAATGTATATTTTTGTGGTTTATGTGCTGCGTTTATTGTTTGGAACCAATAAACTGTCGTGACGTTTGACACCACATGCAAACGACCGAAGTTTTTCCAAAGTGTGGCCGTATGTCGAACGTTAAAAAAATCACTTTTTAATGAAACACTTGAACAAGTCATTCGGTGCACATAAATCTGCTTATATAATGAATATGGAGTGGCATTTTGATAGTGAAATATTTATGGTTTTTGGTGGGCATTTCTTGAAAATGTTCGGTTGTTTATTCGAAATACAACAACAAAAAAAACGGTGAAATAAATCTAAACTCTCAGTTCGGCGAACGCATTTATTTCAATTGAGTATATGTGTGCCAAAAGTCTATGAAAAGTGTGAAAGAAATATGGGTAAGCGCTCACGCAAACGCGCTCTTGATTAATAAATATTTAGTATTTTGTTTCTTTAATTTTTCGATTACACAAGCATTTTTCGGGGCAAATGCAATCGAAATCGCATCAACCGACTGACCTAATAGATTCATTTAGCTGATTATATACTGGCTTAAAATAAATATGGTTTCTTTCTCTTTTTTTCCAGCAATATGAAATTCAATAATGCTGATGAATTTATGGCACTCGTCATTGGTGCGTTCGATCAAGAATATTAATTGAGTGGCACAGAGAACACAAATTGTTTGGAATAGAGTGAACGAATAGAATGAAACAAAGAGCAAGATAGAGAACTAGTGTATATATATGTACAAATCGAACGATGCAATCTTTGCGATTGCGTTGTCAGAGATAGTGAGAAATTATTTGGAGCAATTGGTGGAAAATACGCGTTTAGCACAAATTAGTGAAAATAAATAAAGAAGTAAAAAAATGCCTATTTAGCCAGCTGTTCAAATCTTCATAAATATGTGCTCCAAAACAAATAAAGCATATTTAACACGGCCGATTACTTTAGCCGAGCATTAAATGAAGTAGGATGGAAAGAAAACAGTAATAGATCAAGCAGCGAATAGCCGACACACAGCCACACAAAGTCGAAAATTGAGAGAGAAAAAAAAAAGTGACTCAGGATTACACACGTATATGAAAACAGAGTGCAGAAGAGAATGCGACGCAACACCGAATGTGAGAGAGTTGATGCGAATGAGATAGACACACTGTGATATATTGTTTCTATTTTCGTGATCGGTAATGTGTTACTATGGCCACTAAAACATAAACCGCACGTTTACCGCCGTTATATGCCACTTTTCAAATATGTGTAAAACGCCGCACCAAATCCCCTGACTTAAGTACAAGCCAAAACTCTCTCGCACTCGCACACAACTAATCATAATAATTCATAAAAAGAGCAGACTTCTTCGCTTTTTTTTTTGCTCGTTGTTCGCCGTTTTACGAGTAACTATTTTAACTGAACAATATGTTCTCAGAATACTAAATGAAAATAAGTCATTCGTTGCGAGAAAAAGTGAAAAAAAAATTCAACAAGCGAAGAAACAAAAGAGCAATTTGCACTTACTCTGGTTCCTGTCACGTTGCCATCGTTATTCACATTCATCTGGTAATTATTATCGTTGGCTGTTGACGACTGTTGTGACTTCAATGTATTCGTGTTAATTCCATTATTCGTACTTCGAACGGGATCATCACGTTGAAAATTCTCATTACTTTGTTGGCTTGTTTTTCGATGACGATCAAACGAACCGATTGATGGCGATCGTTTTTTTGTGTCATAATTCTCATCGCTATAATCAACGTCATTATCAATATTATACTCAAAAATATCATCATCGTTGGTGCTGCTGACGTTTTCATCGTCGTCATCGTTTTCCATGCGATTGAAGTTATTTTGGGCATCAAAAAACACTTTCTCTTGAAAATCATCAGGTGCAAGAGTCGTCGTTTTGGTGGTTGTTGTTGTGGTATGTCTTGTTGTTGTTGTATGATGTGAACGTATGTAAGGATTGTAAGGCGTTCTATTTCGGTTCATTGATGAATGAGTGATCTCGACCGGCGCTTGTCGGTTTCTAGACAAATTATCGGACCAATTTTTTTTGTTTGCTATCTCTGCCGACGACCCTGACCAACTACCTCCTCTATTGTTCGATCGACTTCTAAATGGTCCCAAAGTGGTCGCTCTTTGCTCGGTTTTTTGCTGATGCTGCTGGTGTTGGTGGTGGTTGTGATGATGATTGTGATTATAATGATGCATTGAATGATTTTTTATATGAAAACCGCCTCCCGTATTCGATGCAGCTGCATTATCATTCTCATAATGGGAGTGTTTTTTCGGTAAATGAGTTTGACGCTGATAGTCAGGTATTCGACTATGTGCATTGTCATTTGATTGATGAATTTGGTGTTTGTGGTGATTTCCATTTGTATGTGAACGATGTTCACCACTATTGTGACTATTTTGATGTCTAAAATGATGTTGTTGTTGCTGTTGATGATGATGATGCGGCGTTTGTTCGGTCCTTAAACTAAACTCACTTAAATCTCTATTGTTATTTTTGGTGTTTAACTGTATATAATTGGTTCGACCGAAATGATTAGAATGGCCGGTGTTGGTACCACTCCTTGAATCACTGTGATCGTATGCATTGACGAATGAAATAACTACCGAAAATAATAAAATGTATAAACACAAGTGCCGGCAATGCGATGGCATTTTCATTTTTTTTATTATAACATTAAAACTCATTAATCCCATGTCGACTAAAACAAAAATGTACTTTCTTCAATTCTAAATTGACGACGATCACAACATCGAACATAAAAAATTATCTAATTCATTTGATTTGATGCGTTTAAACATGCCTTTTTACTTTTTTTACATTTACTTTTTTTATGTCGAATTCCTTGTGTCTATCACGCGTCGTATTCTCTTTGATTCCGTTTTCATTCACGTTATAATGTTACAACACGAATTGTTTTCAAGAATTATCAAATTACACTTTATTATGGCCTTTTTTCTGGTCCAATTCACTCGATCACATTCCTTGAAGAAAATAATTGAGTAAAGAAAGTTACACTCACTGAACCACAAGAATTATTTTTTCAAAAAAAAAAAAAAAAAATCTAGATCATGTGATATTTCATCAATATTTGAACAAAAATGATTTATCAAGCACACGGAACTTTACATTCTAAAGTCACTCGATTTGAGTTTATATAGTTTTGCTGTCCCGTCGTTCATCAAATAGCCTATCGTTCTATTCACAGAATGATGAATTAGAAGAAATTTTTGTTTGAAACTTTTCCTTTTTTTTTCTCTGTGTTTTTTTTTTGTTCGTTGATTTTTCGTTTGCCGTTTTTCTAGTCGGTATTGTTTGTGTGTTGCCAAACGAACGATGCGAAGAAAGAAACACTATTTTTTACAATTTTATGCTTCCATTTGTTGATTGTCGATTTGGTGTGTGGTATTTTTGTTTGATTTTATGTTAATTTTCTGAAACAATTCAGCAGTCATGGTGTTGTCGGAGTCGCAATCTCGCCTTAAAATAATTTTTTGCTACAATCATTTTAACTGTTTTACAGTGTGGTTGATGCGAGTGTGCGTCTGAGAGATGACTCATGCCATTACATTCTCTTTGAATTTGTTGGGCGATCGATTCGCAACGCGTATAGCACACAGTCATTCACAATAATTTTTATTATTTTTTTTTTTTCGCTTTTCGATCAAAGTGATTTTCACACACAAACACTTAACAACAGTAACAGCGTGTGCACACGCAATGAAAAACACACTGGGACCGATAGTGAGCTGGGAAAAAAATTGTAATACGAAATTTCTCCAGCCAAACGATCGAAAATTCGTTCCTAAGTCCGATTCGCGTTATCGATTCGCCGAAGGCTAAAATCTCTCTCGTTGTCGCGCGAACGCGATTTGCTTGTTTTTCTCTGTCTTGTCTTTTTTTTTATTTTCAATTGAGATTCCACTGTTTTGCATCAACACAAAGGGACACACGATTTTTACAGTTCGTTTTATTGGAGTTCCAACGCACACACACCGTTTTCACACCTTCCGCATACAATGTGATAAATATTAAACCGCAAAAAGCATTCGACTGATATTTTTATTAATAATAAACAAAAGTAGAAAATCTACAATTCCCGTGCGTATGTCGTAAGGTTCTTCCCGTTTAATAAAAATAATAATAAAAAAAATATGATTATTAGCAACGTCTTTCTACACTTTCTTCTCAATAAAAAAAATAAAGAAAGAATCGCCGTGACATGTATTACACACTGACTTGAGCGCGCAAAAAAAAATTGTTCGTCGAAAACCGAATAAAATTGGTCGTTTTTTTTTCGCGCGCGCACAGAAGATTTCCAATTTTGTCTCTTTTCAAAAATCGTTAAAACGTTATTATGAATATTCGAGATTCACTCGAAAGCGACGGCCGAATCGAACACACAACAAAAAAATTATCGTTCCGTTCTCGTCAACACAAAGCTACAGACTGTCTGCGCTGGCTCGAGCACTGTGATTTGTTTCGGCTGCTTTCAATGCTAGCATGTGTGTAGTATATCGATAATCCGACCCGTCGTCGTTGTTGTCAGTTGTATTCTGTCTTGTGTGTTTATTACACAGTCGCACAGAGTCGTGTGGCTCGGGCATATTGTATGTGACTCGAGACGAAAAGAACTATTGGAACGAGAGAAAAAGAAGAAGGAAATTGGCCTGTGTGTAATATGTTATGTGTGCGCGCAATTCTTTCGGCTCTTACATTCAACGGGCAGACGATCGCTTACCGAAAATGCACGTAGATACATTTATATTTTATTTGTTCTTTTTTTTTTGTTGTGCATTTTATTATTTTGATTTTTCCACACAAAATTTTGTTTTTATGTGTGGTTGGAATACAACACACTACGAAATATGTTACGTGTGTTTTCTAGCCCAAGCAGCAAAGTTTCAATTCCTTTTATTATTTTGCCTGTTTTTAACGGATATTAAGTCAGAAATTGGTAGCAATAGTGATTATTATATTCAGCTCCTGGTTGGTCTCGGTAACAATAATGTTGCATGATCGTACGTGCCGTGCCGGTGTATGTTAAATGTAACGAATCGAATTGAAACGATGTGAAACGGCACTAGTTTAACCACACGTTTATTTATGAATAAAAAAGCACATGTAATGTGTGTTGACCGTCGTGGTCTTTGATGCGTGACACTGACAATGCACAATACCAGTGCATGTATTAGCACACACACACTCTCTGTTATTTCTGCGGTTTTCAACATATTTTCTTAGTTTGTTTTACTCTATTTTCATTTTGCTTCACCTGAAAGGTTCATTGTAATTTTTCAACACCGACAGAGAGTCGAGTGAGTTTGATCAAATCCAGCGGCTGATGATTTCGTGGGCGGCATTCGCAAGAAGCATTGAAAATTGCACACGATTTACCGACCATGTTCAATATAACATTGAATGAGCAATTTTCCATTCGCTGCGAAATGTTACAAATTGATGAGGAATCGAGATATGAACGACACAACATTTCCGCTATATATCGCTTCTTCTGCCAACCGCAATGGCCATTGTAAATTCATCATATTATTCTTAGCATTTAATTTATGCATAAAACCGATCATTTATTCAAGCTTTAAATACTATTCATTGAATAAATATCGAGCCTGTCAGTGTTTGGTTTCTTATCGATTCATATATTATGTCCGCAATGAATTTTACTACAGCCATTCATTCGCTTGGGTAAAAGAGTAACAATTTATGTGTGTGTGTGTATAATCGGTAGTTGGCTCGAAACAAAAAGTGTAACTCAAGTCAATATAGGCTAGATGTGGTCGTGTATAATTTTCAAGATAAGAACTTTTCAAAGCAGAAAAGAAAACATACAGGAAAAATCGTATATCCTATATTTTGTACGTCGACATCTCGTACACCTTGTCGTTTATTCAATAGAGATAAAAGAGAAACATCTTGTCGTTTATTGTTGGCTGACGCATCCACGATGTAAACAATGCATTTTATCTCGCGTACCATTTTAAATATAAATGAACAAAGAGCATACTGAATTTTTATGAATCGAATAATAGGTTATTCACCATAACCACATACAATGTGGCATGACAACTGGGCTTACAATCTATCTGTTTGCTTCAATTTTTTTTTATTTTCTCGTTCTTTCCAGCACATCTTCACTGCATAGTGTTCGGTGGGCGGGAGTGTTCAATATGTACATTATTTTTCTATTCTAAACAAACCGAGTTAAAATACTGAGAGAGAGAAAGAAAGAGAGTGTGTGTGTGTGTGAGAGAGAGTGAGAATAAATTCGATTGCAACATTTTTCTTCACATCTCAAAATTACATTTTTAGAACTAACATTTTAATTTCGAATGAATTTTTATCTATTACGGCGATTAAAATACACGAAGAGCTATTACGCATAGGTGTTAGTTCATAATCAAACAATTAAACTTTGCCCATGCAAGCCAACCAGGAAACTATTATTTAATTTAAAACTTCAACAGAATTTTTTTTATTTCACATCGTATTGTGTGTTTAATGGGGCCCCCGAAAAAAAACACACACAATCGCTTTCGTTGTTCTCTGTTCGTTGCTTTCACTTAATTTCGGCTCTTTTCACTTAATGAGATTAAAACAGATTCAGATGCTCATAATAATAACAAGTTCAAGAGTTTTTCGAGCTTACGCAACCGTACACAAGTCCAAAAAAAAATTCATGAAATTTTGATCGTCGTTTTTCCGAACAGTGCAGATAAACATTTACAAGCACAGAAGCAGTGTGAATTGCTTAGTGATACATATACGAACGAAGAAAGAAAAAATATTTTTCTTAAGAAAGAATGAACAAGAAAAAAAGAAAAAAAAAATCGGCGAATGATACGGTAGAAGAGATGCAACAATAAGCGCAATCTTTTTGATTAAGTAATTTTAGTTTAGCTGGAAGATTTTACGATAACATCATTGCATTTCTTTTGATGATTTTTACTGAAGAATGCGTAAATCATCAAAATGAATTGCGGTTGGCAGCCGCTCAATTTGAAAGAAGATTTACTGCCTCAATCTCATGTGGGAAAAGAAAAAGGAGGCTATCATTTGCACGTTTAAAATCATAGTTGAGAAGGAAAAAAAACGAATATGGAAATAATAAAACGGGAACCGTTAACCCAGAACTTAGTTTCCTCCAGTGATTGCGATAAGAACAATGTAGTCAATACTATTTCGAAGTTTTTACTTTGATTTTTGATTATTTTATTATCATCAAATGACTACGTATACTTTATTTACGTACATTTTTATCAGTTTGCCTGATAATAAATACACCGAAATACTCACCATTTGGCATACATTCTAATTATGTAAAAACATGAATGAAGTTTTTCGTGCGAAATTTTTTGAAGAGTATCGACTACGGATTTGAAGATAATGAATTTGATGAAGGTTCTTAGTTCAATAACACGTCATCGAAATGAATTTCAAACAAAATTTCCATAAACGCAAACGGCGAAAAATTCACCAACCAAATTCACCAAAATTCACTCGGGGAAGTACCCAAACTCAAGTAGTGGGTTAAATAAAAGACAAGAGTCCAAAGCAAAAATGTTCGACCGAGAGATATTCGGAAGCGGCGTGTGAGTCTCACATGCAAATAGCAGTTTAATGTGTCAGTAGCGAAATTGAGTGAAAAGAGCGAAACAAAAATAAAACATGTCTTTATCTACGGTGCATTATTGCCTGTCTCAGGCTGTCTGTATGGTTTATGTGTGTTTCGTATAAAGTATGCAGTAAAAAGCAGTCCGGAGAACGAATACATCATTGTATGAATAATGCGAAATGTGGCGACTGATAACGATGAGTTTCTGTCCAGTCATTTCATTCCATTTCAACTTGTTTACGAATTTTATTACACAGTGACACTTTTTTTTCTTTTTTTCTTTTCATTAAACCGTTTTTTATTATTATTGGTTAGTGTCGTAAGTTTTTTTTTGATTCCCCATAACTAAGTGATTGCGTCAAAGTACTAAATAAAATTCTTGAGAATAGAACATCAGCATAAATTAAACACATTCGCGACTTTAGGTTGTTAATGGATTTTTTTTGTTTGTTGCAGTTTTATTTCAAGCTTTTAAACTCTCATTCAAATAATCATCGTATAATTTAAGCAGCTCTGAGCTGGTACGTGGTTTAACATTTGTAATTGCCTTATCAAAGTATTTCCATGCGATTGTCTTAACATTTAAATCATCTTCAAGGGCATACATGGCGGCTTCTTGACAAATCGCTTGAATTTCAGCGCCAGAATAGCCATCAGTTCGTTGCACGAGCGAATCAATGTTGACATCATCATTCAATGGCATTTTCGATAATTTAATGCGAAAGATTTCGCGTCGTGTCTTATCATCGGGTAGACGAACATAAACGATGCGATCGAGGCGTCCGGGTCGCATAATTGCTTTATCAATTAAATCCGGTCGATTTGTTGCCGCTACAATTGTGACATTGGTCAATGCATTTACGCCATCCATTTCGGTTAGCAATTGAGTTAAAACACGTTCTTTCACCGACGATCCACTGGCCGATGCAGAACGTTCACCACCAATGGCATCGATTTCATCGAAAAATATGATTGATGGTGCCACTTGTCGTGCTTTATGGAACAAATCACGAACACCACGTTCTGACTCACCAACCCACATTGAAAACAATTCCGGTCCCTTGATTGATAAAAAGTTAACATTACTTTCTGTGGCGAGCGCTTTGGCGATCATGGTTTTGCTGCATCCGGGAGGACCAAACATTAACACACCTCTTGGCGGTTGTATTCCCAAACGTGTAAATATCTCCGGGTGCAACAGTGGCCATTCAATGGCCTGTTTCAATTGTAACTTCAGTTCATCTTGACCACCAATATCTGACCATTTCACATTCGGACATTTTATAACCACCTCTTTCATAGCACTGGGCACGACCTGACAATAGGCAGATTGAATGTCATTCAATTCAATCAATGGTTCTGCAATTGGATTTTTTCTCGACGCATGCATTGCTGCCTTCGCCACCAAATTTGATAAATCTGATGCGATGAATCCATGACTATTATTGGCAATATTTTTTACATCACTTTCGTTCAGCGTATGCTGCACAAATTCCAATTGTTTCAATAGAATTTGTTCGCGTACAATTGGATCCGGAACGGGAATTTCAATTTCAACATCTAATCGACCATAGCGTCGTACGGCCAAATTTACATTATCAAGATTGGCGGTGGTGGTGACCAAAAATAAGCGGCTCGCATCTTTTCTCAAATGGATTTCGTCGAGAATATTTAAAAATGCCATTTGTACACGTTTCGATGACTCTTCTTTCGTTTCTTTCGGACAAATGCTTGAGACTTCTTCGATGACTATAATTGATGGATTGGGATAATTTTTGTATGCTTTTTCAAAATATCCCAGCAATTTTGATTCGGATTCACCAAAATACTTGCTAAATATCTCCGATGCTGTTATTCGAAGAACTAGAGCATCACTTTGTTCAATAACTGCATCGCACAGCAACGTCTTTCCACTACCACTTTGTCCACTCAATATCACTGACCGTGGCACATAGAAACTGGATCCTGCTATTGTATTTCCCAACGCAATATTCATACAATCTTTTAATTGCGCTATTAAATCGGTCATTCCGCCAATTTGATCCAGTTTTGAACGAGTTTTCGAATGACTTACTTCGTCTTCGTCGATAGAAGACTCGTGTAAATCCAATGTCGTTGAATTTGTGACCAGAAAACATTTTTCCGCATTAATTTGCATCGTTTGAAATTGATCAACTAAACTTTGTAGTTCATCGGTGGACGGACTGGATTTTAGTGATTTAATCGTGAATTTGAATTGTTTATTGAAGAAATTCACGTTGATTACGTTGTTTTTACAGTAAATGTTTCCTTTCATTTGGATGAAAAGAACTTTTTTGATGTCAGGCCACACGTTTTTATCGATTGTCTCCGAATCTTCAGGCTGTAACGTTATGCGTACGGCAGGAATTAGATCTCCAGACACCTTTTCTATCGTTAAATTCAAGTCTATCGTTGATGTCCATGTTGTTCGAAACTCTGAAATCGGTGAAAAATTAAAAAAAAAACGATTAAGAATTGGTTCAAAGTTGAGTCATCAATTGAAGGTACCTTCTCCTGAAACGCAAACAATTCCTTGGTTTGCATTTGACATTGGCCATGCATTTCGTACAATTGGTGCATTTTGAGCCAGCGATGATGAAGATATCAACACGTAGTCACCAAGCACCAAATCGCAAAGTGGAAAAATCGATTCATGCAAAAATATCAAGCTATTCAATTTGTTTGAATTTATTCCTTTTAAATCGTCCGTAATTGGTTTCTCAGCTAGTTGATTCGTTGAAAGTCGTTTATTGCAAACGACCGTATGGTTTTGTGCTAATTCGTCACTTGATTGTTCTGTACACGAATGTTGTTCACGATCCTTGGCAAATATATTGCTATTACAACTATTACACAGGTACCATAACGCTGGCTCCTTTTTCGATAATGATTTACGAGACATGATATTGTTTTTGAATCGGCTTTTTACAGCCCCTAACCAAAATAAAATCGCAACTCTGTTTTTGTTTACTTCTCAGCACGTGCATCGCAATGACAAGCTGCTGTCAAACCACTGAAAATGACAGCAGATGGCGTGAAAGTCTCGTTTCCATTCGCAACAAGCAACAATAAACAATTTGACTTTGATGCATAAACAAAAGAAATGGTTTTTGCATTGAATGCATGAGATTAGGAATATATTTTGTTTTTATTTATTTTTTTAAATTGTTTTCACCACAAAATGGATTGGGCCGAAGATTTAAAGCAAACTATTAAAAAGGTATTGAATGGAATTTAAAAAAAATATGTTGAAATAAATATATATTTAATTTAGACGGTGAAAAAAGGTCGACGAGCCACTGAGGCAAGTCTTGCAAGCAGTGATGGCCCATCAACACCAGAATATGACTCAAATTTTCAGGAGAATGCACTTTCCGATGAATTTTCGTCAGGACTGGATTTTAAATCGTTTCCAGGGAAACAAAAACATCGAAGTGGATGGACTGATGAACCAGTTCGATCGGGCAGCAGTGGAAAGTATGTCAAACAATGTCTATATACATAAAATTAAGTTTTTTTATTTATTGATTTTCTTTTCTTTAAATTAGAAATAGAAATAAGTCGACACAAAGTGAGATGTGAGTTTTTCAAAAGTGAATTTGTCAATTTTGTCCAATTTTTGATGATTTTTTTCTTTTGGTATAGGGAACGATTTAGCACAGTGTTAGCTACATCACCGCCGTCCGATGACATTCCGGAATTACCCGATTTGGATGATGTGATCGACGAAGCCGCCATAAATGATGCGAAAGAAGTCGAAGCCCTCGCTGCAAATCGTGTGGAAACATATAAAGAACTAAATTTTGAACTATTGAAGTATTCCGAATTTGCTTCATCGGAAAACATTGATCTGTCAAAGCTAATGCATTGCTTACAAGACGAAAATGTTCTATCCGATCACGATGTGCCGTTGACCAAAGAGCAATTGTTCAGTGAAGTTGCGTCGTTTATTCATTCGCGTAAACCGAAAAGTGCGGAAGAGAATGTTAAAGCCGCCGAATAGGAAATAGAAATTCCATGAAAAGTATCTCAATGCCGTCCACTAAAAGTCTTTATTTTATATAATTACATTCGCTTACACTTCAATGTATTAAATTCTAATGAACAATTGAAAATACACTCACAGACACAATAAATATAACAAAAGTATCAAAGCTATTTTTTCAATCGTCGAAGTAGATCTTTTTTCAAATTCGAATAAATGGCAGTTTCCATTAAGTTTGTGCCGCGATAAAAATCGACTGCAACAATATTTGCCGACATAAACCATTCTTCCGCATACCTAAAGCGACCAGAAAAACAAATGTAAGTATATAGAGGAATATATAAAAGATCTGGCCACATTCCACATACCATTTTGAAATCAGACGATTTGATGTGTCGGCAACACGTCGCAATCCACCCCATTTATCTATTAACACCTGAAACAATTTTATTTAGAAAAAAAATGTGTAAATTATTCTATTTGTTACTTAGCATACGCAAACAACAACAAAATCAATGATAATTACATCCCAGGTTGTTGGCGTTAATTCAGCCATATCAGCAAACGGCCTACTTGAGAATCTAGAGTGGAACAGAGATAACATAAAATATAAAACTTCTAATCACATATATTCGTATTTTCGTCTACATGAAAAATGCTTACAAAGTGAATGAATGTCCGGACGGTGCTAAGAATCGTTTCAAATCGGCTAAATTTTGACAATTTCCCCAACGCTGTTGAACCGATTGAAATATAAACGATGGAAATTCGTTAACCATTTCAATGTGATCGTATGCCAAAATGATATTTCGTCGATTTTGCCAAATTTGCTCCAATTTCACTTCCCAACCGCCTGATGGATCGACCAACAATTCGCCCAATTCTTTTTGAATATATCTCACCAATTTGCGATGAATGTCCAATGATTTACCGAAACCTGTTTTTTAACATTCAAAAAAAATGGCAAAGAATGTTAAATAATTTGCAATTATGATGAATGCTTTCTATTCTAAGAAGAAAGTCATGGCTGATGAGACCACATATCGTATGATTTGAATGGAGATAGTTTCTGCAGAAATAGATATGATTTCACTAACCGACTGGGAACTCTTGGACGTCAAAAATGACAATTTCATTGGTTTCCAAAACGAAATCACGCACTTGATGCAGAGCATTAATGAATGGCTGCTGCCGAGATATGCCATGGTTGATCCAAAATTGCGGATCAGTTGCGCTGGTAAATGATTTTATTATGATTATTTTGACTTCTATGCCAGATATGTAATTAAAGAGCATAAAAAACTAATATACCGATAATAACCGACACGAATGTCCAAGTAACGAATTCCATGATGCAATTGACTTGTGATATCATCGGCCTGAAAAAAGGTCAAATCAGCTTTAAACTGGTTCTTTTCTGTAATGCTACAAAATGTTCTAAATTACTTACTTGCGTTAATGCGTACTTCGTCACAATAGTTTCATTCCAGGTTGTATTGAAATTTACCCGATATGAACCACTGTCATGGCTGCCCAGTATGAAAAGATCACGAAATTTGAATCGTTTTATCAAATCCTTATTATCATTCATCCAGGTGGGATAGGCTTGAATGCATGTAGTAAAAACTGGATTTGACAAATGATCAACATAGACAGCCCAATATCCGTAGCATTTGGTGGTTGCGTTTAAATTCTGTAAATACTTATTGTCGAATGTAATGTTTGTTGTAATCCATCCGTTTGGTTCGTCTGGTTTTATTATGTACAATGGTTGTTTATTGGCCCTGCTGTACGTCCATCCAATAATATTCTCATCGCTGGCATAGTTTTTGTGTGTTGAATTGTCCTCATTTGTGTGGATGTTGTGTGGCTGTTGCCTCATATCCGTTTGTTGCTTTCGAAACGGAGCATGTGGCTCTTCGTTCGTCAACAAGATATATCCATCGTTTGGCGTTTTTAAATTATACCATGACACCTCGACCGCATTGAGTCTCGCACTTATTGTCAAACTTAATTTAAACGGCTTTTCGATTGCTGTACGAGTTACAAGCAGAAACAGTGAAAAATAAATGAGAACAAGTTATATTACTTCGAAAATATGTGAAGAGAAAGAAAAAAAGAACGAAGACAAAATCACTAACCGAATTGGCCGTATGCAAAGCTAAAGCAGCCAAACACGAGAAGTACTGAATTGTAGAACATCTTGCGATCAAGTACACTTAATTCTTTAATTTGATAGTGAAACACTTGCACTTTTTTTTTCACTTAAATCAATTGATATTGAAAAGTTGTAGTAGCCCCGTTTTATTCAACTTTATTCGCTAGCACCATTTTTACTGGGTTTCTATTCATAAATTGATGCCTATTTATAATTTTTCTTATCATATTCTGATCATTTTCACGTTTTCGTGCTTGTTTCTATTTTAACCGACCGATACGTTCGAATCTACGTCTAATTTGCGATTAAACATTTTTTTTTAATCTCACTTTATAAAACGCATTAATTTAAATAGAATGGAACTATATCAAGTAAGTTGAGAAAAAAACGAATCAAAACGATCAAAGTTCAATTTAGATTCAGATTAAATAAAAAATAGAAGAACAATTTGATTTATTACAATCGCGATGAGGTCAAAAACGTCTTATTAAATCAACAAAAAACGATATGAATCAATATTTGAGAAGCGACAATGCATTTTAATCTGTCAGCTTAGACGATAAGATTAACACTGTTTGTATGATTGACATCGCTTTTATTGCTGAGAGAGTACGAGAGAGATTGAGTGAGCGCGCGAAGAGAAAACTACAAATAAAAAACACCGTTCATTGGCCACTTGTGTGATTTGGCTAAGAGAGGGAGAGATCAGATCGAAACAAAAACAAAGTCGTACGGAGATCAAACGATAAATAACGATATACATCACACAATGAATGAGAATTCTGCTGAATGGATCTCGAGCAACACATATATACGAACGTGTCACTTAAACAATGTGAATGGTCAACGGTAAAATATTATTCACACATTTGACGTAACTCGCACTCATGTATGCGGGTCGAATCAAAGCACATCAGCCACTAGGAACCGAACGCTCTATAATGCTAACACTCACTTTCAATTGCACATAATCAGAGCAAAATGTGTGAGAGAGATCTATTTGTATCATCGAAAAATAACACATCCAGCACAAATAATGTTGTTGTGTCTGAATGGCGCAACTAAACAGCGATCAAAATCGGTACGAACAACTCTTTATCAATGAAATAAACACGAGCTACTGAATTGGGACAGATTTCAAATAAAAACACGCACACTTTTTTGTCGCATTAACTTCCATATTTTTGCCTCTCATAAGTTTCGAATTAGCAAGTCGAGTGACTAACAACATTCTGTGTAAATAAATAAATTTTCGTGAAATATCGAGTCATCACCACGCGACGCCAACCGTGTTTTGAACAATAAAGCAATTTATATTTTACAAACCAATGCAGTACAAAAACAAATGTATTATGCCACTTTTGTTTGCATTTGCTCATTGAGAGAAAAAATTCCTTGAATCATTGTTATTGTTTTGAATGAACTAAAAACACGATTATTACGTGTCTATTTGAAAACATTTTTTTTTATATTTACCTAATGAACACTCATTTTAAATAAAAGATTCATTTATTGGTATTTTACAATTTATCTCGACAGCTCATAATATCAGCTGAAATTCACCAGTTGCAATTTGATTAAATTCAAACAAATACATTTTTAATTAAATGGTTTCATTCCATTTAACCTTTAACCATGTTTACAGTCAATTTTATTTTTGAAGCAGATAAAATGAAACCAAAGATTATTTTTGACGAAAATGTTAATTTATTTGGAAAATTCATAAAATTAAAAAGGAAAAAAAACAAGACAAGAACGGACGAAAAAAAATATTGCTGAAAAAACGATTGAATGAAAAAATCGAAACATAAGAAAAAAAGGTATTTATAAAAAAAATATTAGTAATATAAATGTCTCATGCGAAATGAAAAAAAAAAAGAAAAAAAAAGTTGAAAAAACATCACACAAAAGAGGTGCAAAAAATGGGCAAATCGCTCGGCAATACCCATGCATGGAAGTGTTCTGAACAAGTTTAACTTAATTAACGAAGCTAAGAATTTACTTAACCAACAACAATTTGGAGTACGGTAGATTTGTCATCACTCATATGCTCAACCGTGCGTTCAGCAACGACTGGCATTACTGTGCAAACGGGAACATACAAGCAATGACTAGAACATCTACCTAAAGAGTGTGATAAGCCACTGCACTGAGCAGATCTGCTTGAATTTACTAACACGGTAAAAGCGATCAATGTCCAGTTCGTGCCTATCTCACGACAGAACACACACCTCCAACTATATAGGCATTCCATTTCTTTTATATACAAAAATATGGAAATTCGTCGCCTATCGAATTATAATTTTTCTAAAGTGAAAAAACGCACCGTGGCGCCATCTCTCCCATGATTTCGATTGTTGGTGTATTTGCTCAGAATGTTTGACATCTCATTGAGTTGTATATTGTTTATACTATGAGATGAACATAGAAGAAAAACATTGAAATTTCAATTTTATTAATTTAATTTTTTTTATTAAATTGTGAATTCACTTCTTTAAAGCATTCTCTTGAAATGCATCAAATAATTACAGTCTTAGAAACTAATTTATAAATAAAATGGTCGCCATTTCTTGAAATTGACTTTACAAAATCGCTGAATCTATTTTTTTTATTCTCGTTGAATTCATTGCGAAAAGAGAAATGTTTCACACTTTCTTCAAGATCAATTTAATATTGCATTTTCTAAGCACAATCCTTATAATTCATTTTTCGGTAATGATGCACTATCGGTAGTACCATCGTTAGCACTATCAATCACTGATTTTCGTGTGACCAAACCATCTTCGTCGGCTTTTTCAATGATTTCACAAATGAGCGGCGACTCAACGCCCAAAATGTAATGGCACATTTTCGGCTCCATCAAAAATAGAGACACTTTTGACATCGACGTTGAATTTTCCAAACATTTCAACTGAACCTCGGTTTGACGCTTCTGGCCGGTTTCATCACAAATGGATCCGCCTTGGTAGTAGTGCGTTATATGGGTACGGGCACTGAACTTCTTTGGACGCTTTTGTGGATTTTCTTTCAACCATTCTTTGTGCGCATCTTCATTGAAATAACCCAACATTAATGATGTTTCACCATTTTTATCCACATGGAACTGACGCACATAACGACCGTAGCAAAATTCATATTTCCACCAACCAGTACCCTAATAGAGAGAAAATTGAATGCGATAAATAGCTAATTAGCGATGACTAACAAGAAGAGAAGAGAATGAGAAATACTTACGCCAGTAAGACAATTTTTGCCTTCAAGAAAATCGAGCACCGGTGACAAATTATCGACTCTTTTTTGTAATATGCTTGGTTGTGACGTTGGCGTTGGTTCTTCATCTAATTCTCCTGCTAAAGCGGCGGCAACCACTTTATTGATATCTGGTAGCATTTCATTTGTTAAAATGTCCGATTTTAAGGTTCCATCCTGACAACAACAAAAAAATCGTGAATTTTGATGATTTAAAGCATGAAACGGTCTTTAAAGTGATTAATTGCATAAAATCAAGAAAATGCGTGCAAAAATGGTGAAAATGATCGAAATTATAAATATTTAAAAGCATGCACAAGAAAAAGACAACAAAAAAAAACAAACCTTTGGATTAAATTTAACTACTGAAACTCGTGGTTGCTTATTGCTTTTAGATACTTCCTATTGTAAATCAAGAATGTGTGAAAAATAGAAAATAACAAATAAAAAAAACACAAGACAATGCAAAAGACTTTCCAAAAGTGAACGAAAAAGGATTCAAGCCAAGAAAACCCACAAACACACGCGCCATGTGAAATAGGCAAAAAAGAAAAAAATATTTCATACCAAGATTTTCTTCATATTTTCCACTTCCATCATGAGTAGGCTTTTTGGTTTTGGCGGTGAATCGTTGAATGGTACACAGTTGATGGTATTGTCGTTGGCCTCTTTCGGGTTGAAACTTGGATGAACGCAAAGCGTCGGTGTAAGAATGACCACTTCGTAGTTGCACGTTGATGTTTCTTTCAATGAATAAACTTCATTTTTTCCATGCGGATAGCAAACGTATTGAACATTTGTAATACGTGATTCTCCGTTCAGATCACAATAAGTGCCATCACTCATTTCAACCTCCAAATACGGCAAATTAACACCATCAATTCGAATTGTTTTGTATTTTTCACCGCGTTTTTCTGCATCGGCCAATGTTTTAGCCAACTCTTCCGTTTTCTCCTTTGTCCATTTTCCCAAAAAATACTCTTGTTTTTTAACCGAATTTTGTTCACGGTCTTCATGGAATTGCTTCACATAGCTACCGTGGCACACCTCATACGTCCAGTAGCTTTCAATGCGATACGAACATGTAGCCGATGAAAAAAGTGTCGATACTAAGTCCAATGGCGATAAACCATCATATTTGGTTTCATTTTCCGTTTCGGGTTGGTCAATATTTGGTAGTAAACATTTATACTTTTCTTTGTGATGCGTTGTTACCACAACCGTTTCGAGATTTTGGGCAGCAGCCTCCTCCTTTTTTTCAAACAAAATCGCAAAATATCATTGACTTTGTGTTATCCATTGAATGAGATTTGTTTTGACTTACCTCTAATTTTTCATCGGGTCCCGGCCAATTGATTTTGAATAAAACTGTGTCATCAAAGCCCTTGTACTCATTACATGTTACGACAATTAATAAAAATGTGTACCAAGTACAAAATATCAGAAAATGCTGCTTTCGCAACATTTTACTAAAAATCAATAATTTCGGTCCAATTAGATAGATATACGAATAATTTGCGTCCAATTCTAGATTAACGCCATGTACAGATGAGTTTTTTTTTTTATTTGATTAATTGACGTTTGCCACAATTCAATGCAAATTGTAAAAAAGTTATTATTTGTTTTTATAAGAGAAAAAAAGCCGAGGAATCAATGACAACCACGTCATTGTCAAAAAATATTCAGTCTATTTATCAACACATACATTATTGTTTGGTTTGTGTGTAAACATCCGACACCAGATGGCCTGTCAACTCTCCGAATTGTAGCCACTTTTTAAATGGAATAAAAATGCAATTTTACTTTTTGATGTGAACACTGACACAAAACGAACTTTTATTATTATTTTTATATGACAATTACAAATATTTAATGTTGATTTTAGTTTAAGTAAATATACTGAAGCAATACACTTGATTAAGCATAAATTGGTCCTTTTTTTCTATCTAACTTGATAAAATTCATTTTTTGTATGAGTCTTTTTCATTTTGACTCTCGTCTAAATATGTTTTGAATTTTTCATCTTTTGTTAACAATGTTTCCATAAACATTAAAACCTGCAATTTAAACTCAAGTCAAATAATAAGCGATTGAAATGCTTTGAATGAAAAGAAAGAAAAAATGCTTTGTAGAAAATGAATTGGGAATTAAAATGATAAAATAGAGCTTCGACTCGAGATCGAAAAGCATCATATTGGCTATTCGAAGTTTATCTTGTGTTATTATATAAAAAAATAATGGAACGTTAAATATTGATTCTCTAATTGAACAAAATGTATGTTTAAAGTGATGTCTTTCAAAATGAAATGATACGGAATAATTACAATTAAACGTTATAAATATGAGACATTATGGGTGCAAAGTCATTGTTTTAAAATTTAGACGGATTTTTCTTCGTCGTCAACAAAAACTGTCGAGAACATAATTTGGCAAAAGCGTTCGATGCCCCTTGACAATCGAACATAACAGGATGGTTTATCCTTCCATGCCACGCCAACGTAATATACTGGAATTCCGGCCAATATAATCAAAATGCCGACCAATAAATTTTCGGGGGCTTCAAGGCTCGGCAAGAAAACCAATATCAAGCATATCACGATGAATACAACCGGAATGATTAGATTCACACGTATCGGTCGGGGAAGATCGGGTTTCGTCTTTCGCATCCAAAGCAATGCTGCAATACTAGCCACCACCGATAACCAAAGAATTTGGCTGAAGTAATTTATCAACAAGAACACATCCGCTGTGCAGAGCATTATCAATGAAATTAAAAGCTAAAAATAGAAGAGATAATCACACTAGTCATAGAGTGCCAGTTTGGAAAATCAAAAATATTGATCATCATGAAATTTTATTGTTGTTGTTTTTCAAATTTTCCGAATCTTCTTTTTATCGCTGTTGTGTGACTAAGACATCGTGGCCTTTAATTTCGTGGATATTTAAAAGACAACAACAATACAATCATTTTGGTAGAAAAAAATAATTTTTTTAAAATTTGACATCGACCGGTTTGACTACCAATCCAAAATATTTGCTATTTTTACCGAAAATATCAATGAAGGTATGGGAGTTTGCTGCTTATGATGAACGAGCGAAAAGAATGATGGCAAATTGCCGTCTTGCGCGCCAGTCGCAAACAATCGTGCCGAGGTGAATATAACTCCATTTACACCTCCTGCAAAATGATTTTTAGATTTGAGAATTGTCTTTGAAAATAAGAAAAAAGATTGAGTGAAATACAACTTACCGAAGCAGCTGAGAGCCACAAAAATCGGAATGCACCATGCAATCGGTCCAAATATTTTGTTGCCAAAAGTAACAGCCACGGCCACGGACCCAAGCATCTCTGCACGCGACACAACGGCGAAATAGGCCAAATTCACAAGCACATATATTATTGTCACCATAGGCATTGCAATCCAAATCGCACGCGGAAGATTTCTAAAATTGAGATAGTTTACACATAATTTACGCTAAGCGAAGAAGTAAGCGTTGAAATCTATACCTGTATGGATCGATGAGTTCTCCGGTCACAAAATTTAAATAATTCCAACCGCCAAAGGCGAAAAGTCCCGAATAAAATGCAAATCCAATGGACGAAGCATCATATTTGCCTTCCCATGGATTTTCAAAATACTTCAAGTCACTTGTGGCCATTGAGTAAAGGCCGGCAAGAATAATACTGATCAATGCAAATAGTTTCGCAGCAGTAAATATATCTTGCACTCTCATCGACAACTTTGTCGAAACGCAATTGATGGCGGTGAGAAGAGCTGCGTGCAACGAAAATTCATGAATATTTTATGAAATCGATTGATTAATAAAAAGTATAATATAAAGTATACAAAGTGCGTATGAATTATTCATTATACGTACATAGACAAACTGCAGCAAGCAATTGCACCGCTGTGGCTGGTGGATCACAATCCGGGAAAAATGGTTTCGCCGCATATTGAGCGAATGTCAATGCAACAATTGCCTAGATAAAGAAACACCGAAAATGGAATATAAAATGAATGCGAATAAAAAAATGAAACGAATTGAAGAAAAAGTAATCAATATAAAAGGAAATTTACTTGAGTTGTCGGTCGAATAATAAGTAGAGCCATCCATAGTCTTAAAAATCCAACAAGCGGTCCAAATGCGATGAGTAAGTATGCATAGTCACCTCCCGAACGTGTTATGCAAGTACCGAGTTCGGCATAACAAAGCGCGCCCAGTGTTGATAGAGTCCCACAAGTGGCCCATATCAGTAACGACGAGCCAATGGATCTGTGAAAATGAAAAGAATCGATAAATCAAGTTATGGAAATGTGTGTTCTAGAGTATGGAGCTCGTATTATCGAAGGTCATATATATTTTATACCAAAGTCACTGCATAGCAAGCAATTGAAAACGAAAAAGTGTGTGCCCTTTCTATTACTGTGTGTACAACTTTGTCACTGTGAGGATGCGTATCAACTCGAGTGTTTTACAAATTGAGTTGCGCAAATAAATGCTTGATTGTGAAAAGGGAGGGTTTTATCTTAAAAAAATGTTCACATCATTTTAGATTCATACAAATTAAACTTGTTAAATTCAATCATTGTCAATTTTCGGCCACACAAATGTATTGCACACGTTTTTTTTTCGTTTACATATGATGCAATAATAATGTCACATTAATAAGAATTTGCAATATAACACCGCAAAACAATAAATACAATTTCCATCCAAATTTAGGTTTAATCGTGCAAATAATCGAAATGTAGTTGTGGCAAATCGTTTTCTGATGCAATTGAAATGTCGTTCGCATCTCTCTATCTTTTTTCACAATAGCATTTCATATATGCAAATAGAAACTGGGACAGAAATGAGTTTGGAAAATGAATTTTTCGAAATCATTGTGTCAATAAAATTGTTTGGTGTATCGACTGCAATCTAACAATAGCAATTTTGCAGAAAAAAACGATCTATTTAAGTGCACTCGACCGGAAAGTTTTATAACAATAGATAATTTTTGCGATTGAGGCGCACCTCTCTTCAAACATTACATCTCCAATGAAAATGATGCAATTGAAAGCATCTTTCACACAAGAAAAAAAAAGAGAGCACAACTTACTCAGTGTATTTAAAGACTCCAGTTGGCGACACAAAAATGCCCGATCCAATAATTGTACCGATGATGATACCGACGCCATTCATTAAGGTGATTTTTCGTTCGATAACCACACGTTGTTCAATCTTATTCGATACAGTCGAAGATCCATTGAGTCTATCAGTAACTGCTGTCTCTTCAGAGTTAAGATCGTTGATAACTCCTGTCTCATTACTATTTTCACTATGCTTTTCACTCGACATCTTTTATTATTAATGTTGTCGTCAAAATTTAATTATTTCAGAACATGAACCAACCGTATCTTTCAATTAAAAATTACGCATTTTCCGAACGGAATTTGCATAAATCAGCATTAAATTTAAATATTACACTGCACTTTGCTGTCGTCGGCAAACTAATCAGTTAAAAAAAATTAATTGTGCTTGTCGACAACGTTGTAAAACTAGGTTTTCTTTCTCGTAATTTCACTATACGCATTCGATACTGTTTGTTTTGTAAATTTTAATTCAACAACAAGTAAATATATTAATAAATCAGACAAGAAAACATTCACAAAACCGAACACGAACAATTTTAAAATACAATTAAATGCAAAATGTTCGTTGCAACGACTTTTGTTTATGCATCGACACACCAAGCCGAAAAAAAAAATGAGAGAAGAGTGGAAAAAAAATATGTGGAATAAATCAACAGGTTAAAGGAAAAAATGCAGCGCGCACAAGAACGTAGTAAATACACTCACGCATACACTCTCAAAATGGAGCGGTTGAGAGCGTTTAAATGTTTGTTTTTGCAAATGTTTCTTTGGTGCCGACGACCACGTATCGAATGAAACGAAGAGAGATGAAAGCAAGTTACTGGCAATTTTCACTAACACATTTACACAATAACAACACAAACAAATGCAAAGTTCACTTGAAGAGATGGCTAAAATGTTCTTTACTTCATACGAATTCTGGTTCGATAATAATTCGAATAATTGCTGGTTCCAAAATCGTGCTTATCATGGAAATTGTGCAGAAAGCAACGACTGAGTGAAGATGATGAAATATTTCGATGAAACAAAATCTTGTGTTTTTTTTTTTGTTTTTCACATTGCCTCAATTACTCACACAGAGTGATATTGATTCGTATCGTTTTCGTGGGTAAAAACACAAATTGACACGCTTCTCGGTACAGCAACATGCGAAACAATTTGACTGTGTTGCGTCACTTGGTTCTAAATATCAATTGCAAAGTGTGTGATGCTTACAAACCAGCATTTTTCATTCACATTTATCCACACGCAAAGATTCACTCACTTTTTTTGTTCTTGTTAAGCGCAGGGCAAACTACGCAAATTTTTCTTTTCTCACTCTCCAAAACACTTTAACAAATTATATATCAAATCACTTGAGGTTTGAATTTTTGTTCTCTAGCTCTCTACTTCATGGTTTGCGTTTCGCTTTGGTAATTTCCAAAGATGAAGCAATGTCGACTTCTATGGTTCGGCTTGTCAGTGAGAGACAGAGAGAATGAAAGAATGACGACCACAACGACCACGAAGACGATGTTCTCGACTCAACTGTTGTGAGTGTACTATAGAACGCGTGTCTACCGGCATTTATATGTGTTTCGATTCTCAAAATCTTTTCATTCCCATCGACTTATTTGATTATTTGATGTCGACGGACTTTTTGGACCGGTATTCAAAACGTTTTCTCTTCTATTATACGTTTTACACTTTAATTCTTTTTTTGTGAATTGTATTGGTCGTTTTTTGCTTGTACGTTTTTGCCTATGCCATGACAATCACAAACTAAAATATGTACACAAAGAATGAGAACGTTTTAGAATACCAAACGCGTTAGCAATGCTATATGAACATAATACCTGGAGAAACGATACACATACACACATATACACATGGATATATGGAGGGGAAGTTTCAAACACGGAGACGAATGAGAGAGACGTGGAATATAAGTGAGAGAACTATTATACTGAGTGAGGAAACTATTTGATAACATTTACACTCGTATATAGTAAATATGTCATTTTAAGCACCACGTGCTGCACATATTGTAAATACGTTGAGTAAATATCTGCTTCGTTTTGAATTTATTGAGAAACAATGATGGTTTTGACATATGTCGTATCTTTGCTGTAAATTCAAAAGGCTAATGCAAATATAGGCATATAATAGTAATAAATCGTCGATAGAGAGTTTAGTTGATTACCAATTCTAATTGTTCTTCTAAAGAATTTACTTTACAGAGAGGTGTTTCATGAAAATATTATTCGCATCGCATTCTATTGTGACATTAATCGGGTTTAATTTTATGTCATCTGTCGTCAATTAGTTTAGATTGAAAATATGTGGAGCATTATTGATTTTGACGCCAAAGTCAGTAAATTGCACAATTATTGAATTTATGACAGACATTTGTTTGTTCTGTCCCGCAGTCTGAAAAAAATACCGACTCAGAACAAATCAACAAAATACAAGTCAACTTGAAAGGTTATATGTACAGACCGAGCGAACAATTTGTATTTGTAAAATGTAATTAATACATTTTTCTATTCTCATTCATACACAATGTGTACAATCTTTGTCGTATGAATGTTTGCTATGATCTACTGTCGTGTAAATTGAAATTTAATGGCATTTCAGATATTTCATTTTTATTGATTGTAAAAAAACCTGACTCCGCACCTAGGGGATAACCGTGAATTGCAGATCGAATAATTTATAATAATAAACGCTATTTCTCTCTATTTTTCACTAATTCTGCTAGTATTTCTACTAGTTTTTTCTAATACTGCTATTTTTTGCTAATTTCTCTAGTACGTCAAAAATATTGCATACGTCAGATTGACAGCATGATCGAATAACTGAAATGTGTTTACGTAAATGTTTCAAGTTGACACTTTCAACGTGTATATTTGAAGCAGGCACTAGCCTATACGTTTTCAGTAAGAAATCTGTCATCAAATCTACATTTCCGATTGCAATTCGTAAATTGTAGTTAATACAGATGAAACGTGCTTGGTTACGTGCCATTGAATATATTTTTTATTTAAAAATGAGAAAAAGCGTATTAAACTACATATTTTGATACATTTTAGTTCAATACTATTCAATTCGTTTGTTTTGTGAATTTTATTTTAATTAATTATTTCAATATATTCAAGAATAAATGCTTACTAAAGTATATACGTGTACAGTGCTAATTCTGCTATTTATTGCTAATTTTGCTATTTTCTTCATGTAAATTTCCCTATTTTTTGCTAATGTGCTAATTCTAATTCGCATGGATATCCCCTAGCTCCGCACACCGTGGGTGAGAAATTGAAGTTGACAGCAACGAGGCAATAAAGATAAGATCGAATTTTAAGCGTTGCGATTTATTTTAATAAATATAAAAACCACAATGTGCTTTGTCAACACTATTTAATCGTTAATAAACACAATGCACTTTATACTAGAAGAAAAATATGTGTTTTTCACAATTTTATTGTTCTATAGAGATTAGTTCAAATGGCCAGTGGTAAATCTTAATTAGAACCACGTAAGTTTATTCTAGTTTGTTTACACTGTGTGCAGTATGGATGTCTTCTGGCATACATTCAAAATACTGTCGAAATTTTTACGATTAGTTTACGATGCAAAACTATTATATTCTTGGCGGTTCGAATAATTATCAATTGGCACCACTATACCATTGTATCAACAGAAATACGAAGGTTGCGTAGTATAATGGCTATTATACTGGCATACAATTTGTAAGCGTTTATCAAAATTCAATGAGTTTGCATCATCAAGCCTTTTACAAATGCTTTCATTATATGAATCGTTGCGGCGAAAAAGTAGCTCTTATTTTTCTCCAAATAATACTGCAACATAAAGTTTTTTATGAATAGTTTATTTGTTGTATTACAACAAATAAACCGTGTGAAAAAAACTTCATGTTGCAGTATTATTTGGAGAAAAATAAGAGCTACTGTTTCGCCGCAACGATTCATATGGTACGTAAGCTCGAAGCTCTAGATGAGAATCGAAACGACAAAGAATTTCGGTGTGACTTGATTCGGTTCCACATTTTTGTTAAAAAGTGAGTTTCCAAATAATGAATGATCATTCAAAAATTTCAATTTGATTTGGTAATTATATTAATATAATGTTGGAATTACTAGTTTGACATTTACTGAACTGTCCCGTTTGACTTATTTGTGTAGAATCTCAAGCACCCTGATGTCAATATCATGTTACTTGTGGTTGCGTTCTCTGTTAGTTCTTCGAATCTCTTTTTGTATTGTTACTTTGGAAAATTGGCTACGGAAAGCTATTTAAGAATGGCTGATCGCTTATATGAGACAAACTGGCAGGAACTACCAATTAATTTACAAAAGTATTTCATTACCATCATTCAAATCACACAGAAGCCGTTATACTTTCACGGTTTTGGAATTGCAGTGCTTAATTTGGAAACATTCTGCAAGGTGAAGAAAAAAAATATTTCAATAAATACATAAAGATATAAACGTACATAACTTCTATCGATATTTTTAATCCCATTTAGTTATTACGTGCTGTACTTTCGTATTATACGCTGTTTAAAACATTGACATCAGACTAAGTACCTCTACTTTATTGGTAAAATTTGAGGAATATTGTGTTGATTAGTAAAACTGACACAGAAGGAGTTTATTTAATGCTTGTACGACTAATTTACACTAATATGACACCTGTACCTATTCACAATTTTCGCTGGTTATTTTATTCAACCAGACATTTCACAGAAAGACAGAAGAATCGAATATGATTTCTTTCCATTCAAATTCGAAGTGGTCACTCAATTTATAAGTCACAAAATGAGAAAAAAAAGAAAAAAAAACATTTAAAAAAATCTAGAAAAAAATATTAATAAATCGACAAAAAATGCTGTACATAGAATATTTGTATATTATTTAAAGCACATTTTTCTGATATAATCTCTAAGACCTTAAACATCGTTGTTGTCCTTTTTCGCCAATGTCACTGGACTTAGCTTCCGTTTTTGATTAACTCAATGTCTTTAGGTCGTTAGTAAGAGAGAGAAATAGAAAGGAAGAAACATTAATTCTTACTTGTAAACCGCTTGATATAGCTCAATGTTTTTAGGTCATTTAAAATTGTCAAATTTCAACTTTTTTCGTTAATCAATCATGGGAATTTCTTGCGCTGTTTTCTCCTGCATATAAAACAAATGAAATAAGAAACATCTTTTCTCAAAATAATTTATGAAAAAAAACAATCTGTTCAATTTTATTGCGTTCTTTTACACCGCTTCAATCAAAGTAAATTTTGAAGAAAAAAAAACACTTAATAATAGCCAATATACAAGTAATATATAACTAATAAAAAATGAATCGATGATCAATGTGAATGTGTATGTGATGAATATCGGAAGCAGAAAACCTTATCATCTTATGGGGGCAATCGAATGTCTGGTAAGTTAATCATCGAAAAACCGTTTTCAATATCATCGCTCATATGGTGTTTAATGAGTTCAGCAATATCGCGACGCTTTCGTGCTGCCGCTGAAGGTTCAAACCAATTTGCCAAATTTTTTATTGGAAAGTTGAAGTTCTTGATTGCAGAAGTCTGTAGAGAAACGAAACGCATTCAAAGAATTTAATAAAAATTGCTTTTTAAATGAATTATTTGTGGATGAAGTAATTTTTACTATTTGATTTCTTTTAATTGCAACATCCCTACACTCTTTATATGCAATAATACGTTTCTGTATTCAAACAACTTTCACGTTCATAGAATATGCATTAATTTTTTTAGAATGAGAAAAGAAAAAAATCTAAGCAAAATTGTCGAGAATAAATTGAAACAAACCGTGAAAAATTGCTCAATGTAATGTAACATGAAAAGTCCACAATCCGATGTATTTTCTTGATGTGGAACTTTAACGAGATAACCAGGCATATTGAAGGAATCAAATTTAAATTTGCCATCACCATTGAACTTCTTCTTATATTCTAAATTCAGGAACTCGCGAAGTACTGTGGGCTCTTTGTATCGTCCACCCGATAATGAGTCAAATATCAAAATGCATGGCCTGAAAATCAGAAACAGAAAGATTTTTCAACATTTCACAAATTAAACGTTACACCTCACCATTTGCTCTCTAGAACGACGCGAACGAGTAAAAAAAATACCAGACAATATATTGAACTAACTGGTCAGTTGAGCTGACAGTACGTTAGCCAGCTAAATGGACCAAAACAATAGAAGTTATTGTTATAATGAACAATCACTTCTATTAAAACAAGAAAAGTGATTCATCATTAAAACAATAACGTCTATTGTTTTGGCCCATTTAGCTGGCTAACGTACTGTCAGCTCAACTGACCAGTTAATTCAATATATTGTCTGAAAAATACTGATATACTCATGACTTTCATTTTTGTTGCATAAAAGTCGTTCTTTCGGAAAGCGTAAGCAAAAGATGATTTAATTTTTTTTATCGTGACCGAAATATGAACGAAAAACTTTTGTAAATACATACTTTTTGACGATTTTTATTGATGATTCATCCGTATCGCTTTCAATTCGACGTTTACCCTGTTTGACTGTCGATTTTACTTCAACGAGTCCGGCAAAGCATATAATTGCCAAATACCAATGTTCTCTCTGATTAATTGGCACGACGATAAAATCCATATCAAAGATGTTTATATTTTTGGTCCATCTGTCAAGGCGTGCAAGTTTTTCTTGGTTCGAATTCTTCCGATCGCTGGACACACTGTCCGTTAGCACTTGATAAAAAAATGAATCAAAAATGTGTGTGACATTTTTCTGTTCATCGGTCAAAACTTCACATGTTAAATATCGAATGTAATAGTTGACAATATTGTCATTCAAATATTCATCGCATGCCAAAGATGCATAGTCTTTGACATATATCGAAAGTCGTCCTGTACCAGTTGGTGGATATTGAAGACAAATGTCTGGGTCACATTTGCGCGATTTTATCTTATGACAAATCTGTTCAATATCTTCATGTGAAATCTCATCACAAAAACAAAATAGTTCTTTGATTGCTTCGCAAACAGCATTAGATGATTCAGTTTCCATAATAAGCACATAGTCATACCGATTTGGAGCTAAAAGAAGAATTGATTTGATTGGTTTTTTTTAGATAAAAAAATGTCTTCTCTTTTCGTTTTCTCGGTTTACATACCTGGTTTGATGTGCATTTGTTCGTAAACCTTTTGGCCAACCGATGGAAGAACGTAAAGCATAATTATTATTTTCATTCCCATGTGACAGACGCATTTGACGACGACTTTAATAGGTATTTGAATGTTTTCGATCGATTTCGTGGTCGAATCTTGTAGAACCATTCGGATTTCATTTGTTGTGAATTGAACATTTCCTTTTGGTTTGACTTTATCGGAACCGATATATATACACTGTGGCGCAAATTCAACTGGAAATGATTTACACATTTACATTAATTTGAAGGTAAACAAAATTATTTCGATGCAGATTCCAATAATCGAAATGATCAACTGTCATGCATATTTTGGATTATTGGACAGTAATGCATATTGTTTATATATAGAAATTTGCAAAATAAAACTTACCATCCATTTTTACTTTTATTTTTAAATTCGATTATGAGAGTAATGCGTTATGCTTGAGTAATGTTTCGTTACGATGTCAACTGCGTTTCAGTTAGAAAGTTTCTTATTGTTTGACAGCAAATGTTGTGTACAACATCGCATTGCGTTTGAGATTGTGTAGGTTTATTGACACTATCCTTCATGACATTTCAGCTCCCGCCAAATTTAATCTCTCCCCAATCATGTAAAGAACTATAGAATCTTATTTTTATAGTGACACTTCGCAAGATTTTGTAAAAGAAAAAAAGAAAATTGTTTGATTTGATGTTTTGAGGAATCTTTATTTACTAAAAATGAAATTACTTTTGAAACGATTTTTTACATACTGGAAAGCTGTTTACCAAATGGATATTCAAATTGAGTTTAAATCGGCTGATATTCATCCATCGATCATTATTCGCATTTTTGTTCTTTCATCGTCGATTTTGAATATTTTGTTTCTTTTCAATTTATTTGAATAATTCATCTCTGTAATTGTAGCAAAAGTGCCGTTGCAAAAAAAAAAAAAATACTGTGCATTCGGCACACATCAACGAATGAATTTATTATTTATTAATTTCGCATCCACATTGATTTACAATTTAAATTAAATTTGCGTTGGTGCTACAATTCAATAAAATCTTTAAGATTTGTTACACATTTCTACGTTCTGAGTAGAAGTCTCACTTTCATTCTCGGACATTCATATAAAATGGTGTCTTTTTCTTAATAAATTGCAAGGATTTCATCGGTTATTTACGATGTTTTTCTCGTTTTTTTAAAAGTCGTTTATTCACCTTGTTATTCACTCTAAGTGACGCTTTCGCCGATAGAACGTAATAATTCTGCAATGGACTCGTATAAATATAGACGATTGTTTAATATTTATCTTTGCATATTCTATCATATTGTCTATCACTTTTCATGTCTTTGACTTGTTCGAATGCTATTTTCGGATTGGAATGTATTGAAAGCTGTGTTAAAATCATGTGCGTGTTCAGTGCAAATTTGGAGCTTGCACTCAATTTTGATGGTTATTTTATTTTCGAATTCAGAAATTGTTTACATAGAACAAAATCCATTAAACCATTTAAATTCAATTTGAATGCAATAAACCAAAAAGTGGACAACTTCATGAAAAATATTTTTCAATTTCTTTTCGAAATATCGTCTTCATTTATATTTCCTTTGAAGTGAATAATTCATTCTTACAAAATAATTTCGGTCAAACATTTTCAGAATTCAGTTCAAGACAATCTTTCCAAGAAAATGATGAAACATTCACTGCAAACTCATCCAATTCGGTGAAATAAAAGACGTTGTTGTTTTATTAATATTTTAAAATGTGTTTTTTTTTTATTTATGGATTTGCATATTTCTCCACGGTGTCACTAACTAAAAAAACATGGTGAAATTAATTTTAGGAATTTTGTAGATTTTCCCTTCCCGAATTAAATGGTTGTGTATTTATTGCGGCCGGATTGCGTTGGCCAATGGAATCGGAAATCGGAGGCTGAATTGTTAGACATTGATCGTGGTATTGATGCTCTTTGTTGTTTTATCCTATCGATTTTAGTACATTTACAATCTGAAAGAAAGAAGTGTTTTGAACAATTAGCAGGAATTCAACGAAAAAAAGAGCGAACAATCTACAAAGCGAACCAAAAATGAGAAAATGATAGTGATTTTTTTTGAGTAAATAAACAGTATTCATGTTTATTTCATGAGTAAGATTAGAAAAATTCAAAACATTAAAAACATCATTCCATCCTTTCATGATCGATATGTGTTGCAATTCGAAAATGAAACATGTAAACGTTACATTCGTATTCTCTGTCTGGTAAAACATGACAGTGATGTCAACAATTAGCAACGCGTATAAACAAGAGAGAGTCAAGGATTCGAAAACAAACTATAAATTCATCGATACGGAAACATATGTTACGAAATTGACGGGTGTGTATCAAAACAACGTTAGCTATGTGATTTTTCACTAACTTTCCGCCTCAACCAAAAGAAAAATTCAAAATTGTAAAACTTTACTATAAAGTTGGACCTAGACAAAAATTTAAATTTTTTTTCTTGTCAAATTGAGAAAATATAGAATATTACCACTTCAAATGAGTAATTGATAAAAGAAAAACATGTTAATATGTTTCGAGATTATCGTTAACAACCTATAGTAGAAATTTACGAGGAACATTCATGTGGCAACGTCATTCGTCAGAAAATGTCAGATGGACATGAGTATTATAATCTCGGCCGCAAAAAAAACTGTACCACAAATGTGGAGGCGTAAAGATCATACATACTGTCACAAAATTCATCTGTATTTCGTCGAAAGCAACATCTATCGACATTATAGACACAATGTTTTCAATCTCAACTGGCACCATATACAAATTGCGTACAAATTTTTATCCGAGCCCATCCCATCTTATTCTCTATCTTTCACACAAACTCGATTGACTCGGCCGGAAAAATTGATTTTTTTTTCGGCTAAGGTCATAACCGCTGCATATGAAAATATATTTCTATATGATTGGTATATGAAATTGATAAGATTTATGACGAAGCCAGCTTTCTTGTTTGACGTTCAATTTGCGGTTTTGTTTTATTTGTTTTTGTCCAATTAAACAAAGATATGTGCAATGTGACTTGGGCATTTTAATTTCTGTTTAAAAATTGCTTTTGGATAAGTTGCTTGAAAGGATAAATAGGGGATAGCATTTAAATTTATATTTCCCGGTCAATTTAAACGTTGAGCCATCGTTGTGCCATTTTAATAACTCATAACTGAAATAAATTTTAAGTTTTTTGACATTGATAAAGTGTAATAAAGTTATTTTTACGGTAAATCGGCATGAGAGTGCAGACTTGTCCGTTGTATATGAATACCACACCGCAGCCAGATGAAAAACAATAAAATTGAACCGAATTACATAACAAAGTGTAGGAATTGTTTCGGTGTGTTGTCTTTTCCTCAGAAAAAAAACTATGTCTCTCATCAAGAGAGAAATTCTATCATAACGTCGTCACCACTTTATTGTCGACTATTTTATATACATTTTTTTTTGTGTAAAAGAAAATGTTCATTTCTATTTTTCGTTGCGAATTCTTAATTTCTGTGTTGCTTGTGCGGTGGAATCAAGCAGGAAGAAAAATTCACTTAACTATTTATTGAGATATTTCGTTTTTCTCAAGTTATAATGATTCGGTTTTTAAGTTGTTGTTGCCATGTTCTGTTTCGTGTGCTATAATAAAATTTATTGCCCCACTGAAAAATAGATAACAGCTCCGAGAACGATTGAGTTGTTCGCGATCAAGAGAATACGGATATATGAAAATCTATGTAAAAAAATTCAGCTTTAGATTTTATTTTATTGATGCTAACGCCAAATAAATAATCACAGGCTTGTGTCGAATACACACCTTTGTTTCGTGTTCGGTCATTTGTGTGTGTGTCGGTATTTTGGTCGAATTAATTTGATTTCATTTCATGTATATTTGACGTGTGCCGATACAAAAAGAAGTTCGTGTTTCGAAATCGTACATAATATGAGATATTTTTGAATCTAATTTATGTGATATGGCCAGGGCTCTGCTACTACAATATGCGCGTTTTTTTCTTCTATTAATTCATTTTGAATGACGAAAAAAAAAGAATCCAAGATCAGTTATTGCAATGCGTACTACACGACAGCTTGAGAAGTTGGCAATTTTAAAGATAATTTTAACACGATTTCGTACTTTAAAAAAGGTTCAGCGGGATAGCTGATTTGGAATCACCGCGTGCGGCAGCCGACTATTTGCATAAATCTACTCGTTTAATCACTGATCTCTGTCTTCAATTAGAATTGTATTTTTTTTGCACGCAACGATACATTCATGTTAAGGCTGTTGAAAATAATTTGAGAAAAAAATTCTCAAGTGATTTCGAAACATCGGAAGAAAAAACCAGCCACAAAATTGCCAAATGTAAATGAAAAAAATGAACAACAACGAAAAGTAAAAAAAAAGTATGCATCGAGCCGTACAGAAAAGATAGGCAGATGAAAAACGAATGGAAAATGTTAAAAATAGCCACCCGAAGTCCATTTTTTTAATATATTTCACGATGCAGAAAATCAAGTAATTATGATTGCCACAACCTCTGGCGAACAGTCGAGAACCGAGAACGAAAGTGAATTTCTTTTTTTTTCATCTTCATTACTGGCGTCGAATAAAGTGCGTAGCATTCGAAAACAATAAAAAGAATAATTTTACGCCTGATCATACTCGAGTTGAGCAATTTTCACGATTATGCCTGGCAGTTTACTGTCGCCAATTTTTCGTTTTTTGTGTCAGCTGGACATTCTGTCACATTCCTTGGTCGAGATTTTCTTATTTTAGACTTGGGCAACGTTCCTTTCGGTGTCAATGGCAACGTAAAATATTTTTCACTTTTTTTTCTTCAAATTCTGTGAATTCTTAAATTCGGTTCGAACTGGAAATTAGTCGTCGTTAAATTTTTCCGAAAATCACTACGATGACTTTTTTACGATCTCTTCAATTATTAATTAAATATAGTTTTTCGTTGATAATTTTTCTTCATTTAAATTTGGTTCGCATTCAAAAAAATTGTGTCAATTGCAAAAATATAAGAGCGATTTTATGATACACTTACTTATTTAAAAGACTGGCATACAATAGATATAGAGCAAACAAAAGTACCACCAAGACCAAAAAACTGGTCATTAAACTGCTTGCTTCATTCATTTTTGATAGATCTATAGAAAATAATATTTGAAAAATTATTAAATTTCACTTGAAATTTCGTGATTCACTTAAAATTTCTATCCTTTTTCTTCAGAAAATGTAAAACTCAAAATTTTCTCTCAGAAAAAGAATCGAATTAATCGAAATAATGAAAAAAAATATGTAGAAACGATTCGTTACTTTGAACTGGACGCGCGTCGTGCTCGGACAAGTAGCGATTACTTTCTAGTTGAATGTGCTGGGGAAAACTGTAAACGATGCCAGGCGTTCGATATACGGCGGACGATATTATGTGTGTATGTTTTCTTTTTTCTTATTGTGATGTGATACGCAAACAGCTTTCCGCCATGGAAAATATGATTATGAGAAGAAAAAAAAAATATGGATGCGCTGTTTCACACGTACATTTGCAAAATTAAAAATATTTTGCAACAGTATGGCATCTATTGGCTTGTTGATCATTCCGACACAATCCGATATGTGAGTAAAATTATGCGAATTCTCTGAAAACTTACTTCAATATAAAACACGATTCGGTTACTGGCGCCCGAGATTAACGCTCGTTACGTCATCAAATATAACTTTCATCGCTGAATTCATTCGGTTTTAGTATGAAAATCAGATCGAAGAGCTGACAAAAAAAATGAAAGACCATCAAATCCATATATTGTTTCTCTTTCGGTACAATGACCATTTTAATTTAGAAATATCACTTCATTTTTTTCTTAAGTTATACTAAAATACAACTCAAACTTAATTTTATTGTTCAACTTTTTTTTTGTTAATAGTCGTTTGTTTTTTTTCTGTGGTTCAATTTTAAATGATAAGGAAACGTACACAAGAATAGCACAAGTCTCTAGTTTTCTATTTGTAATTGTTCCGGTTTGTTCTGTAGTTAGATATTTAGATTTTCGATATTAATAGTCTTGATCGAATATATATATGTTTTTGTTAAATGTAAAATTATTTGTGAAACAGAAAAAAATCATATTGATGTCGCCCATACAATAGGCATAATAAATGAAAATAATTAGCATGAAAAAAATTGGTTTGAGAGGTTGTATGAGGATGCATCTATTCATGATCAGAATTCCAAGTTAGACGCGATTCATAGAATGCGATGACAACGTCTGGGCATTTAGAATTGGCAACTTTTGCTGGAACGAGTGTTGCCTTATCAAAACCTTGCCATTTTATTAGAAATTCCAAATCACCACGTCCGTCCGAAGCGCCTAAGATCGATTCAGCTTTATGACCTGAAAGAACATGACATAATCGATATAAACAGCCAAATCTTCAGCAATGAACAATTATTATTACCAAATTCGAAGCCAAGCTCTACGGTTCCAATATCGTCATCCCTTTCGTCGTCCATATCATCACTTTCACCATCGCTTTTTTTCACCGATTTTTCACGTTTCTTTTCGTCATTTTTGCCACGTTTTTTGACGCTAACTTCGAGACTTTTGCGGGTTTTTTCGCGTCGAACTGGATCAGGCGTTTGTGAAATACCATTAGTTAGTTTGGTTTGTTTTGGTGGCGAGCCACCGGAGTTACCATTTTTTTCTGCTGAATTTCTTTTCAGTTTGGGTTTTGTTTCAGATCCTTTGATTTCCGTGATTTCCATTGAAGAGTCATCGTCATCATCGTCGTCAGAAATACCATTCTGCTTTGATTTCGATAAGTTTTCACGATTTTCCTTGTCTTTTCTTTCTTTTTCACGTTTTCGGGACAATTCTTTTTCTTTTTCCTCTTTCTGACGTTCCTTTTCACGCTCCTCTTTCTGACGCTTTTTTTCACGTTCCTCTTCGCGCTTTTTTTCACGTTCTTCCTCACGTTTCTTTTCACGTTCTTCTTCGCGCTTCTTTTCACGTTCTTCCTCCCGTTTCTTTTCACGTTCTTCCTCGCGTTCGCTTTCTATTTGATCGCTTTCACTTTGCGCGTCCTTTTTCTTTGCCTTTTCATTGTCATTCTTTTGTGGGTCCTTCTTCTTTCCCTTTTCATTGTCATTTTTTTGTTTGTGATCGTCTTTTTCGGCATCTGATTCATCGGAGGATAAAATAACACGTTTGCGTGACGATGACTTTCGCTTTTCCTTTTCTTTGTCCTGAGAAATAAAAAATGTATATAAATTCAAAAAAAAGAACCTGTGGCAAATGTCATACTAACTGTCAAATTCAAATACAATTTCTTATGAGAAGGAAAGAAACAAACATATGGAGTGACACAAGTTCTTTGGAAAAAAATTACAAAAATCTATACTCTAAAAATTAAATGAGAATCAAACATCAAATGTCACAAATATACGATCAAAGACAAAAGATATGCATCGCATTGAAAAGTACGTACACAAATCCAACCGAAAAAAAAGTATCGCATTTCGGAATTGTAAATGTATATGTTTGGCGACAAAAGTCAATTCAATGTCTGTGTGTCTTCGCACCAAACAACATTAAAACGTATAAAATATGGGCAATGTCGCTTGCGACCGACTTGTGCTTCTTCTCCTTCTTCTTCGTTTGTTTCGTTTGTGCATAAACAAAGTGTATTGTTTGTATAAGTGACAAAGATGTGTGCTCAGCAACACTTGAAATGTTCAACTATAAATTCTTAGAATAGCGGTATATTAATTGCGTCGTGAATTATCTTTGTTGTAAGTGGCAACAAATACGAAAATGCAAGTGTGCGCTTTGTCTATACTTGGGCATGCAAAAAACACACACACACTTCTTTCTCTCTGTCTCTTTCTTTTGTTGTAGAAAACTGAAAAATAATGTCTACGTACCGTTACTTCAATATCCTCCGATACTGTTGACGAATCGCGTTTCTTACGCTCCTTGTCACTTTTGCCATGGTCTTTTTCACGTTCTTTGGACTTCTCTTTAACATTTTCTTTGGTTGATCGACGCTCCTTTTGTTTCTTATCTTCATCTTTTTTTAACTTCCTCTCATATTCAGCAATCAATTCGTGACAATTAAGATTTGCGACCGGTTCCCATGTGCTTTCCGCCTCGCTATAGCCTTCCCATTTGATATAATATTGGACCTTGATGAGAGAGAGAGAGAGAGAGAGAGAGAGAGAGAGAGAATAAAAATTACCGGCACCATTTGATTTATGTACTACAAACAAAAATACAATTGAAAATGAGCAATACTCACTTTGCCCGCTTTAGTGCGTTTATCAAGCACTTTCTCGACAACATAGTCTTCTTCTTCTTCTGCTTCCACTTCGGCACCATCAGATGAATGCACCGATTCGGCTGAACTGACGTTGGCATCTTCTTTTTGATTCTTTTTTCCACCCATTCTGCGCGAATACCACTGCCAAATATCAAATTAAAAACCAAATGCCATTTAAAGTTAGACGAAATAATTAAAAAACTATCGTTCAGCATGGACGACAATTGTAACGCAATTAAGTGTGTGCCATATTATTTTCTCTCTTCGCTTACCTTGAAATTTGCCGGAGATGAAACTATTCAATGTACACTTGTTTTTTTTTTGTTTTGTTCTTCGTTAATTCCAAACCAAATCAAACCGGTTGAAGTTGATTTATTTGTTAATACACAAATAAAAAACTACAAATTTATCGTGTGGTCAAATTATTATTTTTTTTTAGACAAATTTGACTGAATATGTTAGCGGTACATCGAATTATGTGCATTCAAAATAAGTATGCAAAGAGTACGGAGTGCAGACACACAGTAGTTTTGATCGTCAATCAGAGAATGACGTTCAGATAATAATACAACCAAACAACAAAAAAGAATGTTTGCAAATCGGCATTTTTGCCAATGTATATGTGTGCTATGCCCTTTTTTCCCAATAAACTTATTCGAATTTTGAATTTAAAGTGTCAAGAGCAATAGGCGATTTACACATTTCATTTGTGTGCGAGGGGAATCTTTTGTCTGTGTTTGTATAGTTTGAAGTTAGATGAGAGCAATGCGTGCGTTTAATCTTCTATTTTTCTTTTCGCTTGCTTGATTTTCGGCGCGTAAATTTATCAACATAAATCGAATGACGAATCACTTCAGATCAAAAGAGAATATTTTTTATTTTACGTAAGATTTTCGATAATCTGCAATTATTCACGTAAAATAGGTACGATTTGAGGTTTGAAAGCCGACAATGAATTACTTCAAACTATCTCCATCGTATATGCGAATGCGGTAATGGCAACCCTATTGGAAAAATGAGCGATTTGAAAAGATCGTTAAAAGTTTTCTCAACAAGTGTTTTCTGCACAGAAAAAAATATTCTGATTCACAACAAACTCAAATCGATTTCTTTTTCTTCTACTTTTCTCTAATTTTCTCGTTGTTTCTTCTTCGTTCCATATCGTTCTTCCATTAAGTCTGATTCTTTCTTATCTTCCTGTCGTGTTTTTGTGAATGAAATGTTTACGACTTTTGCGCTTAATCTCTGTAAAGCAATAAAAACAAACGATAAATTTCATTGAAAGGCTTTTGGTGAATTTCGTTATGACATAAAATATTTATTCAATTTATATAGAGGATTTGCAATTTTTGAACAAAAAAAAACGTGTTTATATAGCGTTTACATATAGATGTGATCTCTTAAATGCTAGCCGATCTGATTAGATGTATTCCACTTTGAATAATATAATTAAATATATTTGTTTGATTTAAATAATATTATTAACTGGCTTAAACCCACTACAGTTTTCCACATGTGTGTGTGTATGTGTGTGTGTTTTCTTTATGTATTTGTGATAGCACATTGAATGATTCACGATTCCCAAATTTGTATGTATGCATTTTGCATAAATTAAACATTACGATATTTTACTAAAACTGCTCTTAGAATCTTCTTTTTGTTTTTTTAATGTGTAGGACATAAAATGTATGTTAGCCTGCGCTTAAATACTATATGCCATTGAAAAAATATACGCATCCATCGTAAAAATAAAAATCAAATTGATATTGCTCTTTTTTTAACCGGTAAAACAAAAAATGTGTGGTAATTTTAGTTGTGTCATTTTGGCATGATATCCTTTGGTTGTTTTTTCTATTTTTCTGCACATTTTATTATTTTCTTATAGATAAATATTAGAAATTCGACAAATAAACTTAAACCGAAAATAAACATTGAATGGGGGAGAGGGGTGCGTGCATACGCAAATTTGGTTAAATTAAAAGGTAACAAATTGTTTGAACTTTTTCTTTCTTCATATAAATAAACCTAAATGTGGGGATTTAATGCAATTTTATTTAAATCATAATGACAATCAGCCACAATTTTTTTTGGTTCTCATAAGAACAAAATGTGTGCACACTTAGCTAAGCAACAAACTAAATCCAAACGACTGCATTTTTCACTCGCGAATAATAATATTGAACAAAAGAAAAAAAATAAATGAAAATATACTTAAATAAAGGATCAAACTACATAGCATATATAGAGAGAGATAATATCTAATGGTGAAACATATCACCGTCAGCTTCAATAAACTAAATGTATTAATTGCTCTGCGACTCAATCATTAATAATTTTATCAAATAAAAACGAAAAAAACATATAATAGTTAATAAATCAATAATAAGATGGAAATTGATCGAACAACTTCCGCATTAAAGTGAATTATTTAACACGATAGAGAAAAAAAGAATACAGAAAATATAATAAATGTGGTGTTCTTAGCTCTGCTGTATACATGTAAATCGTATGATAATAATAATTAAGCTTAAATGGTAATTAAGAATTTTTTTTGTTTGGTTTTTTTTTGTTGTTGTTGTTTGTATTTCGTTATGGCCGACACCTGACTGTGTGTAATAAGTGAACATGGATGTGCGTCTGATCTATCTTTCTATGTGGTGTGTAGCTGTGGCAACCGGTTACATTTTCTGTAAATTCAATTCGCTATAGTACATCGTTTTCTTTGCAATGTACTTAATTTTGTTATACATTTATAATGTGTTTGCGTCTGTGTAAAAGTTTATAGATTCAATTTTATTGGTAAACAATGTTCCGACTATTTCAATAAATGCGTTTCTATTTGTATATATATATGTATTTTGATCGCGCGGTTTCTTTTTTGGTATGTTTATATTATTATACATATATTGGTTTTATTATCGGCACTAAAATTCTAGAAAAAATTTGCTGTATAAATGTAAAGTGTTGGTCCATCAATACCAGAGAAAAAAAACACATTAGTTATAAAGAGAGATTGAAATATTACATTAATATATAGATCTTTATATATATATATAAATTTGCCGCTCTTGTTTCTCATGGCTTGTGGTCCAGGCTGTGGCCACGCAAAACGCACATACTATACCTATAAAACTAGAAGTTCAGAGAAACCAATCGGACAACGGGACAAGAGCGGTTACTTAATATCTAACTAATAATGCTAAACGCTTAACCTCAAAACCGCGAACATTTTTTCAGTTCCGGCATTTGTGTGTATATATGGTTGTCGGTGTGTGTTTATCAATGCGACAAACCACCTATTTGATTACATGACCAGTGTCGGTATCAACTAGAATTTTGTTTTCTTTATCACTGGAATATTGTAAATCGAAGTTTATTTTTGGATACAGCGTTTTCACATTTGCATATGGATTTTGGTGAGTGGTATCATTGTTATTATCACCATTTGAACTACTATTGTTGTTGTTTTGCTGATCGATTGTGGTTATTTCTAAATTATCATAGCTCGTGTAAAAGGCCACTGGTTTTTGTTTGCTTTTGATCAGTCCAAAATGGATGCAACTATGTGCGGGCAGTAATGTTTCATCGGCGATGGAAAAATCGCAAAAATTACAATTTGCCAAATTAACGCGACCCGATACACAAATGTGGCACATCATATGCTCCTTCAGCACATCTGATTTATTTGTGATAAACGGACAATGCGGACATTTTTCATCGTTTTTCGATTTGTCCGGTGTTGTTTTATCATTTTGTTTGCCATTTGATAAGACTTGACGTTCGGAAATCTTTTGTTTGTTTGGCGATTGCATTTGATCGTTTGCATCGGTGCTGGATTCGCTAGAGCGATTAAAGGCTTTATTTGGTACTTTGTTTGTAATAATTGCGTCATCTAAATCGAGTGCCACCGTTTTGTCGCCAGCGGCGTTGGCCGCAATCAAACTAATCAAATTACTTTCGCTGGTCAAGTGCATTTGAATGTGTTGCGTGAGAATTGTTTCGTTTGGCGCATCAAAACTGCATAATTGACAACGAAACTCGGTCGGTTTTATGAGTGCCAATGCTAGTTTTTTGAATGCCGCATTTTCATTGCATAAAATTGGATTGCTTTTCAATAAATTTATCAATAAATTACGTTGATCGGCGTCCATCGTTGGTTCGGTTAGACCAACACTGTCCTTGGCATTTGAATCGGTAACGCTTTTATTTGAATCACTATTGATGACCGGCAATTTTATCGGATATTGCTTGGTGAGATAGGATAAACTTTCTTTTTCAATTCCACTCGATGATGATGTACTGGCAATATTATCCGCTCCAGATGTTGGTGCATTGCTCGATGATGACGATGTTGTTGGTGGTGCTGATGATGATGATGATGATGCTGCGTTATTTGCATTATGTAATGCCAACGGTTGATATGCGTCGTTACTTCCTTTGATTTTTATCTCGATTTGAATGTCTCCATCGTGCTTCAAACGACAATGACGCTGTAAAAAGATATTCACAAAAGAGAAAAAGAGAAAGAAAAAGATTTTAGTGATTTAACGTTTTTGACATTGCCATGGTTCATGGTTCGATAATGAGCTCAGAACTTGCACAAAAACAACGGCACTTTTTGCATACGATTCGATCACAAAATATTTACTTATTCACAAAAACAAAAATCGCTTTTGCTTTGAACAACCATTTTTGGCTTTCATTTGAACGAACAAACAAATAATTCTTCCCGCTTTTTTCATGTTAAAACGAACGCTGGCTTTTGAGGTGAAGACAAACGACCACAAAATTATAAGAATATAATTATAGCCCAACAGCATGAACAACTACAATTTGAAAAATCCCCGGTGAAACCAAAATGTAAAATGAAAACCTTTTATTATTCTAATGCTACTATACTACTTTTAACCCCATTTGCCGAAAATATTGTATGAAAACGATTTTTTTAAACCGAATAAATTAAATGATTTACCAATATTAATTCTTTCACCAATGATTTTAATAATTTCTATGAAATATCCTCGTTTATAATAAATTAGTTTAAATTGACCACCAGATGAGCCAAAAATTATGAAGTTTTTTATTTCGCTTTCGGAAAATAGATGATTTTTAAGAACAAAAAAGAGAGATGTTTTATTATGAAGAATGTAAATCCCACCGAACTGAAATAGCTTATAGAGATCGTTTGCAAATAATGTGAATAAAAAAGTACCACCGTTAATAATATATCATAATAAATGTTCGATTGGCGATCTTTCAATATTGGATTCTTTTTTTATTTTTCTCTTTTTTTTGAAAGTTAATTAAAAATTTCGAATGCAGGAGTATTTCACGAAAATACTTTTTCCCGTACGAATCGACTACATTTCCGAAAATTTGGGCAATTTTCTTGGAAGAATGTATTTTCGTGGAATGTCCCGGAAATTTAAAAATAGATAATTTTTTGAATTAAGAATGTAATATTTCAATATTGAAAGAATGTGTGCAATCAAAACAAATAGAATAAAATAACCAATGTGCGTCAATTTGGTATGAGCTTTTGCCATGAAATGTTGATATGAGTGTGTATGGGTGTATGCGTGTGTGTGTTTGTTAGTAATACCTGAATTACATGCTTCCAGTTTGAAACTTGATGACAAATACCACAGCGATAAGGACTACTTATAGCTGTGGTGCCTCGCCAACCATTTACCGAATTTAACCCAGAACTTGCCTCATCCATCTCACCGTTCTCGTTAGTTGCGGTACTAGAAGGATTTGATTGATTTTGGCTTGCATTTGCCGGTGTTTGTAATGCGATTGATGATTGATTTGCATTTACGTTTACGTTTTGTGTATTAATTGATGGAATGGCTTGTTGTTGTTGTTGCTGCTGTTTAAGTTCAGCCAAAAATAGATGGGATGAATTACCGCTCAACTGATTTAATGCCTGAATACGAATTTGCGTTTGATCGGCCGATGATAATTGTGGATGTTGAATTAGCAATTTACTAGCGCTTGGCGATAAGGCTGATAAAATTCCATTTACAGAATAGACATTATTGTTGAATTCACTGGCATTGAGACCGGCCGCTGCTGCAACTGCTGCCACTGTTGCTGCGTTGTTTGTTTGATCGTCAATCGGAATATTTGCTTCTTTATAATGGCCTTTGACATGTTGCAACACCACATCACGATTGCTGTGTCTGAAATGATGGCAACACAAAGGGAAAAATATACGAAAAAAAATTAAAATTCCGTACATTCATACTACGATTGTAATCTAAAAGTGTGCGGTTATCTTACCTAAAATTGCATTTTTTGCATTTGAATGAGACCTTTTTTGTGTTGGCATCGTTGTCATTTTGTTTGTCCTCATCATGGTCGGTGCTCGAATTAAATTGATTGTTTGATATGCTATAGAGTAAGGCATTTTGTGCAAGTGCTATTTTATCTTCATCCGATTGTTCGACATCGTGGTGTTTTCGTTTATGCATTGCCGCTTCTTGGCTTGGTGTCATTTCGCCCGATTTCATGTGTTTTGGGTCGCCATCTTCATCGGTCACCTTCATCAATGTTATGTATTTATTGTATTTTGTGTAATTTCTTCGTCCAGTTTCGTCATTCATAAGAACTTTGGCACTTTTATGGCTGACATCACGGATGGTCTTTAGACGAATATGCTTGGTAATATCCCAGCGCCAATTCGATCGGTACGAGCACAACGAACATTCGAATGGTTTTTTATTCAAATGACCAACGATGTGAACGTGAAACCTTGATGCAGTTGATGCCCAGAATGAGCAATGCGGACACTTGAACACTTTTTTCAATGACGAATGCATTGCTTCATCGTTTGGATGCATTTTCTTTGTCACTTCTCCGTAACCGGGTGCGGTTTCGATTCCATAATATGTACTTTCATCGGCTTTTTCATCATCATTATTATCGCCGTCGTCTAATTGCGCAACGTTTTCGCTTTGAATGTCATTCATTGGTTTTGGATCGGGTTGAGATTGAACGGCATTCATTGTTGACGGTTGTGGCAATTTATTCCAAACAAACACTTTGTTCTCCATTGGATGCGGTTCACTGGTTAAATCAATCATTCCTTCGTCGGTCAATTCGCCGCTGATGTCAAGCGATTGTTTTTCATTGTTGCTCTCGACTTCGGATGCCGAATCACATGATTCGGCGCTGGTTCTTGCCTCCGCACAACTTTGCAAGTGAATATAGAGATCGGCGCTCGACTTACAACGATGTCGACAATATTGGCAACGGGTTGAACCCATATTGCTGACCATTAAATTAACCGGCGAAATACTTTGTTTTCCTGAATTTTTGCCACAACTTTTCTTGTGAATAATCGCTTCCGATAAGCATTTCGATGAATGGCCACATTCGCACATTAAATCTCGACTGCCGGTGGCGAATTTCTCTTTCAATTCATTAAAGAAATTGGTATTCTTGCGCTTGACCGACGATGCTGTTGAAACGGGCGACAGTTGTGACGTTTCCGAACCATCAAACACTTCTTCGCTAACAAATAATGAAGCCAAATCTTTTAAGACACTTTCTTGTTTTTTCGACTTTGCAATTTCGGTGCCGAATAGATTTTCAATTGAACCCCAAATCTTGCTGCCATGTGTCGAAAAATCCCAATCGTTTTTCTTGGAGCGTACGCTTAAATTCATTGCATCAGCCGATGTGGTCGGTTGAATTGGGATTAAATTTGGTAATGGTCGTACGGCTTTTTTCGTTGGTGTTGGCACCGGTGTCGTGGATTTGTTTGATAAATCGGCCGCACTTGATTGATACTCTTCAATTAAATCATTTTCATATTTTGTACGTTTTGACACATCCGAACTATTGTCAAAGTTATCATCGCTATTGTTATTGTCCATGCCTTCGCCGCCATCACTATTATCGCAAATGCTCATCATACCATAGTCGGCGTCCATTAAATCGGTGCCGCCAACTTTATTTCGACGGCGTGCCATGCTCATGCCGGTTGCATGTCCAACTGGTAAAAGAAAGAAAGAAATTAATTAGAACAAAATGTTAGAGAATGTGTCAATCGAACAAAAAAAAATAAATTTCAATAAATAAAAATTCGTAAGAAAAATTTGAAAAACATTTTTTTCATGAATAAATGAGTCTTAAGCTAAAGAAATAAAAGGTTTTTAGAACACTGGCTTTCATAATTATCAACAAATAAATGTCATCCAATTACAAAAGATTAATATTCCAATCATGTCTTGAATGAATAACCAATTACTTTATAATTTTATAGCAAATACTATGAACGCACTCATATTTCGATGCTCTCTTTCCTGGAAAATGTCTACACAAAATTATGCAAACATAAGCACAAAAAGAATGCAAAACATGCAAAATATGTGTAGCGAAGGAGATGCATGGATACATGAATTCAAACATGTTGCTGTTTTGTGTGTGCGCTTAAAACTTAACGGATATCAGTCGGTCATTTTGATTTTGGACAGCGTCATATTGGTTTGGTTTTTATCGACATCGGTTGAAATTATTTCGGGAAAACATTTTTGTTTGGTGAGTGTTTGAGAATAAATTCGGAGGAAATTCTTACATTGTTTGGCTGAAATTAATTCATTCATGGTGTTTTGACGTCAATAAATAATATTTTTGATGAAAAAAAAAACATTTTCCGGGTGAAAGAAGAGCAGTGATGGTTTTTTCCTATCTGAATAGCGCTAGCTATTCGCAGCGCCTGTAGCGGTTGCCGCACGCACAACACACTTCGTTTGTACCACACAGAGCATATACGTTCGCGTTCGTTCTCTGTTCGACATGCGTTTGTATACTGACTATGGTATTAGTGTATCATACTCTGTGAGCTCACTGGTTACTTAGACTATATGACAATATGTTGTGTGGTACAAAACGCGTGCGGCAACCGCTTCGATTCAGCATCTGGGCAGCAATGCTGTTCAGACGCTGCGAATAGCTAGCGCTATTCAGATAGGAAAAAACCATCACTGAAGAAAAGACAGTGATCTGTCTGATTGCACCGACTTTTATTTTAATGAAAACGCATGGCCAATAGTTCGAAAGTAAGCATATTTTTTTCATTTTTTTTTCTAAAAATGTTTTTTTCATTATAAAATACACTGTAGTAACGTAGTTTTGCGCGAAAGAGTTGGTATATCTGTCAGAGCAGAACTATCAAGTCAATTTTTTTTACAACTTTTTTTACCAACTTTACAAAACGAAGTATGAGGCTTGACTACACTCGGGCCCCGCTACAACGCCAGATCAGACAATATATTTGGCTGTCGTCATCTGGATATTACAGCTCATCTGGATATCGTCAGCAGATGAAACGAAGTGAAAACAATAGAAGTGATTTTTATAGGTATATAAGCTTGTTATATACTGGTATTACTATAACAATCACTTCTATTGTTTTCACTTTGCATCATCTGCTGACGGCATCCAGATGAGCTGAAATATCCAGATGACGGCAGCTAAATATATTGTCTGCGCCAGATATACCAACTCTCTCGCGCACAAAGTTCACAATATTACTTCAGTGATATTATATAAGTGCTTTCAAAAAATGATTTGATAAATGATGAATTTGCTCAAAAAAAATTCAATATTGACATAATGCGAGTCATTGTTTTGCCAAATAAACCATTCCCTTTTTTCTCTCAGAATCAAACATGAGCTCGCAAGACAATCATTCACCGGCCAAATCACCACCAGCACTTGAAAAGTATGCTTGGAGAGAAACTGAGAAAAAGAAGACCCACCCACCGAAACCAGAAAAGGATTCGAAGCCACAAGCATCTCCGCTTGAAACCAAAAATCGTTTCGCATTTTTGGATTTAGATGATGATGATGAAATTTCATCAGCTGTCATTGCATGGACGAATAAGTGTTTGAAATTGCAGAAACAAGTTGATCAACTAACAGAGTATGAAATCGCACTTGTGAAGAACGCGCCTGCTTAGCGGGCGATGCGCCTCAGAAAAGCAAAAAGTACTTGTCAGGAGCGGCTCCTGAGTTCGTATTAGTATACAGTACACAATAATACAAACAACGTTAGTCACACTAACACATTCAGAGCTAGGAGCGGCTCCCAGCAAGCGCGCTCTTCATGAGTGTCACATTCATGCTCTGTGAAGTTGTGTGAACAACAATCGTACAAAATAAAATATAAGGATCTCCGAAAATGAAATGAAACATTGAAGAAACAAATTGCGATTTTGGAAGAGCGATCTGCGCAGAGTTTTGATGCTCATTCAGCGCCATCAAGTGTTAGCAGAGGTAAATTTTGCATTTTCTTCTTCGCTCATATATCCCGGAAACTTATTTCATTTCATTCTTCACATACAATGATTTTTAGATAGGATAGATGCGTAAGATCTCCGCAAGATCCAGATCCAAGCGTGCGTACGCTGCCGCATGATGCATACATATATAATACGCACGCAAATTCGTTATTCTTATTTCCCCTTCTTTGATTCGCATGCCATAGCATTACGGAGTAAGGAATGTATGTATCATGCGGCTACGTACGCACGCTTGGATCCGGATCTTGCGGAGATCTTACGGATCTATTCTATCCAAAAATCATTGTATGAAGAATTTCTTCAAAAGGTCCAACAAGTGTGCCACCGCCACCAAGTGCCAAACCACGGAAAGCTGGATCATCTAGATATATTGTTCGTACCGATGATGCACTAAACATTCCAAACATGCAAATCGAACTCACACCAAATCCGACACTAAAGAAACCGTATACTCAAGCTCTTATTCAAAACTTGATGGCTCTAGCAAATAAAGACGCGAAAACGTCATTCACTGAAATCGAAGATTTTTTGGCACATGGATATGGATTCATCCAAAAAATGACTGTAGGCATGCAACCAGGCTATTCGACGGTTCAAAATAGCACATTAAGCTCCATTTACATCGAACGTAATATCAAAAACATCTTTGAATCTGAAACCAAAGTGTATCCTGGTATAACTGATGATCCAATCGAACGGAACAAACAACATCGACGTGAAAAGAGAAACTATCTTATGGCGGATGATGACGATTATGAAGGAGAAGCAAGCGATGAACGAATGGCGGAATCGCTAATTGGAGGGAAATATCTATACAATCAAATTGTTTTGCCACAAATCATTCGAACAGCCATTCGCTAGGGGACATTCATACTAGAAAAACTAGTGAAACTAGCAGCAACTAGCAGCGACTAGCAAGCACTAGCGTATTATAGTCCAAAGCAAATGAATTGAGGCATGTAAAATATATTGTAGCATGCGTAAGTCGCTTGCAAACGAACCAAGTGAATAGCGGAGACGCACGAAAACGAAGTGAGTGAATAGCGACAACGAACGTTGTTATCCGTTGCCGCAATACACTCACTTCGTTATCGTGCGTCTCCGCTATTCACTTGGTTCGTTTACAAGCGAATTAAGCATTACTGTTGTTTCTTTTAAGTATCATACGATACGTCTACTCACTAGTAATACTAGTAAGCGATTAGCGAATACGTAAATAAAACTAGCTTACTAGAATTGCTACGAATGTCCCCTAGGCCATTCGAATACTTGAAGAAATAATTTTTTATACCTTAAAAATAGGATTGAATGATAATGTGCTGGCAAAAGGTAAACAAGGCATGGACCGTCGAAACCACAAAGATTATGGAATCGAATCAGACACGGATGTCTTTGCGATTGGAGCCAATCTACTAGCGCATTTGTTGGATGAAGAAGCTCTTACAATCGATGTGTTAGAGATTTCAGAAATAGTGCATCAAGCTCACTTTCCATGTCCACGATGTGGAAAAATTCTCGGTCGATTTGTTCGCGTCAAATGCCATCTTCAATCAGTGCATAATGTGAATGGTGAGGACGAACTATTCAATTTGCTCGAGCAGGTGCCGAAGATAAAGTGTGGTTTTCCACCATGTACAAAGAAATTCACTTTACATCGCCCGTTGGCTGAACACGAGAAATATTGCACACACAATCCGAACCGGGGATAGTCGGCAAGAAAAAATTGCATGTTCGAATCATTTGGATGCGACAGAGCGTTTAATGATGAAATTCGGACGAGGAATGCAGAGCATCGTGATTTGCTGCTGCTCAGCATATAGCCGAGAGCTGAGAAATGCTGAACTCGTGCGGCTAACGCATACGAAACGGATGACACGCACACATGCATTCTCCCCGTTTAAACGGTTATAAACAGTTGATTGGACGTTCAATTCAAAACTCAAAACTTAGTAACCAGTTGAGTTTGAAATTTTGTTGCGACCGACATATGAGAAGCTGCGAGAAAAACATCATGTCGCATCCCTCGTTATTTTGCTTACGTAAGTGAAAACAAGAGATGAGATGCGACGTGCTGTTTTTGCTCTCAGTCTTTCATATATTCTGAAAGTGTACGTCTAACGCATACGAAACGGATGCACGATACATATTCTCCTTTCACTTCGTATGTTCGCTGGTATAGTGTGTAACAGCACATACGAAGCGAAAGGGGAATATGTATCGTGCATCCGTTTCGTATGCGTTAGCCGCACGAGCTCAGCATTTCTCAGCTCTCAGCTATATGCTGAGCAGCAGCAAATCAAGATACTCTGGAGGAATGCGACTATAATGATGAAAATAAGCATAACATGCTACCCTGCCTTGAAGAACGCTGCCCCAAATTGTTCAAACTCGAGAACTCTCGTGTAGTGCATATGAATCATGCGTGTGAATTTCATCCAAGAATCCGAGTGCTTACATGCAAATATCCGAATTGCGGCCAAACATTTTCCAAACCTCCCAAACTAAAAAGACACGAAAATTGGGACTGCAAACCAGACAATATATTGAACTAACTGGTCAGTTGAGCTGACAGTACGTTAGTCAGCTAAATGGCCTCAAACAATAGAAGCTATTGTTATAATGAACAATCACTTCTATTAAAACAAGAAAAGTGATTCATCATTAAAACAATAACGTCTATTGTTTTAGCCTATTTAGCTGGCTAACGTACTGTCAGCTCAACTGACCAGTTAATTCAATATATTGCCTGCTGCAAACTCAATCCGGCAAGGATATGGCATGCTATGTAAAATGTTGGCGAACAAAAACCTTACAAATTTGTCGGAATAAACCTTATAGTTCTATGAACAAAATTACACAAATATGAGATAGTCAATATGAAATTTGTAATTCAGATTCTATCCGATAGATGGCGTTACGGTTTAGCACGTCGCCATATCTCTCATATACGTGCCATTCCCTTGCAATCCGAATTATGTAACGGCATTTAATTTCAAATGTCCTATTGATGGATGGAAAAGTATCTTCAGATCACCATTTGATTTGAAGGCTCATGAGTACCGATTCCATAAACTTACTAAAAAAACAAAATAGTTTTTCTGGCCAACAATTCAGACACATCGCATTTGCAAAATCTATTGTTTTAGAATTGAAAACTTTAATGAAACGACAAATTAAAAGTACAAACAAAATGTACCAAGTTTTAAGAACTCAAAAATCTAACAAAAAAATCAAATTTCAATTAAAAAAAGTTCATAAGAAAAATGTTAAACACATTCCATTTCATCCACAAATAATTTTTAAGATAAAGAAGCATACATAAAAATCAACGTTCTATTTCATCAACAAATAAAGAACCATGTCAATTTTCCCTACATTTGTCATAACTGAGCAGAGTGCGTTTAACTCTCAAACGGCACATTTGCATCGCATGCATGATCGCAAATAAGAATTAAATAAATTTAAATGGAAAAATTAAAAACGATGATAATACAAAAAAAGTATTGATTATTCAAAATAATTGGAATAATAAAAATAAAATAAAATAATTTTTATATTTATATCATTTGATTTTTCGGGTGAATCCTTATATCGTGAATTAAACGTACGTTGTTTTGTTATGATAGCCGCAGGGTTTGACGAATTTGCAAGCAATGACAGCTGGCTCACTTTTTAAGCATTCATAAATACCAACTGTTTACCTCAATAATTTTAAACTAATGTAGCATATATAAAAATCAACATTCTATTTTATCAATAAAATTTAAGCTAAAGAAGAATACGTAAAACAAACTGTTTTTAAAAACTTCGACTCACTTGGAGGAACATGGTGATTCATTTCGTGCACAGTTAGGCTCTGTTTAATGTCTGCCGTAAAATTACATCCCGAACATTTGAATGGACCGGCTCCACCATGATTCTTCATATGCCGATCCAAATTCCACTTGTACGGTGTACGAAAATCGCACATAACACACTTAATCATTGGCATTGAATGATACTTCACGTGTTTACTGAAACGGGCTTTAATATGTGTAACGTAACTGCACTTTTGACATCGAAAGAATTTCGTTTTATTATGTTCTTCGCGTTCGTGTTCGACCATTTGTGTTCGATACAGTGTTGTATAATCGCATAGGGTGCATTTTAAAAACTTTTGATTTAACACTTCTGAATTCATTTGATTTGATGCATCAATGTTTGATTGAGACGTTGTTGCCGCCGAATTTGTTGATGATATCGATGCGTTCAACGATTTATTGGCTATGTGGCTCGGCGAGGAGGCGACAACGGCCGCAGCAGCTGCTGCTTGCAATACGGAAATTGAATCATTTAGATTGACATTTGTCGAACTGCCGGCACTCGACAATAATTGTAATTTACGTTTTTTCTCTTCGCGTGCCAATTGCGATGCTCGTTTACGTGATTGTGCTTGCTCTTCTAGGCCATCGGTGGAGCCATGCACCATTTTCATGTGACGCACCAGTTTTTGATAGTGACGCGAGGCGTACAAACAATGCTTACACTCATTTATAATGATTTTTTCGCCGTGAATGTCGCGCAAATGTGCCAAAAAATGACGCGGATTTTGTGTGAAAAAACTACAATTGTTACACGAATAGTTTCGCTTTATTTTACACTGCGGCAAATTACTGTCGTCGTCTTTTTTATCGTGCGATGATGGCGATTGTAAATTATTATTGTCTATTATTTCTTCGATACTATCGTTGGTTGGATCATGATAGTCGGCGAGATTGAGTTTTTCAAGTGCATTTTTATCACTGTTTTGACCCAAAAATATTTGATCACCGCTTACAACACTTCGTATTATTAATTTATCGCCTGATCGATGTACCATTGACGGTGCCTCCATGGTGAGAGTAATCTCGTTGCAACCGCAACACTCTTATCGCACTGAATCGATCCTGTATGTGATGGAAATGCAAAGAAAGAAAAAGAAAAAAAATGTTATAAAATTACATTTTATCCATGAATTATATATTCTCTTATTGGATAAACAAGCTGGTAGAAAGAGGAAATTATGACGCAATTCGGGTAAAACGCATATACACACAGAAACAATGTAATTGAATTAGCTATGCATAAATTCTTCCAAGGACTGACAAACTGACAGATTCTATTGAATGCAACATGAAATGCAATGCAATGTGCAAGGTGAAATACGACATCTATTTTTATATCTTACCATTTCGATTCTCGTTTCTTCTCTTTAGTTAATTGAAATAAAACCCAGATCTCTTTTTTCTCTCTTTCAAACACACACTTTTTCAACGGAATCTATAATATGGACGTGTTTTTATTTTATCAAAATTGAAGCAAAAAAAAAATCGACACTGATTGTTTACTTGATGGTCGATGAACAATAAAAAAATAACAATAAAAAACTGGTACTCTTTGGCCAATTTATCGATTTGTTCCTAATTATATATGTTCGTATGTGAAAACTGTGTATTGAAAATGCTGGCTGAATAGAACGAAACGGTGAAAAAGAATGTGGAAGAAGTAGCAGCAGCACCAGCAGCACAGCAACGATGACGACAACGACGATTAAACATCGCCTGTTTGACGGCACTGAGATATTAACACACAACGACACGCGCACAATTTGTGCCGCACACGGTACAAGAAAGTTTTTTTATACCGAAGTGGTAACAAACAATCCACGATTGGAAGAAAAGCACTGGTGCTTTTTCGTTGTTGTTGTTCTTGGTAAAAGCGCACACCGAAAAGAACGAAACAAATATGAAACGTGTTTGAATATAGAAACGAAGAGAAAAAAACACACACGCAGACACAGCACCACCAATGAACCACTATTGAGAGTAAGAGCACACACGAAAATCAAACGAAATGAGACCATGCAGAGTCAGGATTTTCCAACCACGAAACAACGCTTTGTAGTGAATACTGAACCATTTGAATCACTAACAACGTTATAAAACGGAGGAACACACAAGCCGCAAAAGGCAAGAGCAACAGTAAAAGCAAGCAACAGAACTACCACCAATACCATCTCATCCGCACTTTTTTCGAACAACAACAAAAAAATTATTATTAAACAAAACAACGGGCACCAACATATTATATGTATGTATATACAGACACGAGTGCAAGAAGAAGTGTGATTGGTGCCGTTAACGTTGAAGAGACCGACGACGATGAAATTTTTTTCAATATAGAAATGTAGCCACGGAGAACAACGATGGATAGATGGATGGACGGATGGATATGGATGATATCATCATATTCAATGTAAAATATACACAAAATGCAGCATAAAGAACTATCTCTTTCTCTTTCTCACCATCGACACGCCATTTACGTGAAATTGAAACTGTTGTGAAATAAAACACAACATATACTCGGATGTGTTTAGATTGGAGAGTAGTTGTTTGCGTTGGAAACGAACGTATTTTTATCAATGTAAAGCGCACGTAGAGAGAAAAACGGAGAAAATGCTTCTTCAGTGTGTTTTGTTGAGCGAAACGAACGAATAAGCGCCAGTGGTAATGCACAAGAAAGGTAAATGCAACAACAACACATTAACGTGTGTGTTTTTAGACAAAATCAACGAAGTTAAGCTACCCTTCAGCGTGACAGCACGACTAACGCAACGAAATGAACATTCGGCACACACCGACGATGAAGAAACATTCGAAAAGATGACGATGTTTTCATATAGAACAGAGAAAGAGAGAGAGAAATTTAGAAATATTTTCGTCGAGAGCACAAAATTATCAAACATATTTTACGATGATGAACAAAAAATCGCTGCTTGATTAAGAGTTGTGATAGAATTGAGAGGAAGCCTTTACCACTCACTCACAATCGATTTTATATCAAAAGCGCAAAAATCCTTGTTACGATTTATAGATTTTTTCGAAATCGCATTTTTTTATTCTACCATATTTCTAGTCTTCAATCAAAAAGAAAATGTTAAAATAGATCATTCAAGCATTCAGATATGGAATGGTAGTTTCCGTCATTTTATGTATGTGTATTATAACCACGTCGCCATCACAACCACCCTCTTGCAACCACAGCGAACGAGTTGTGAGCGCAAAAGAGAGAGTGTGTATGTGTGTTTAATAGGTGTATGCCATCAACGCCGCCATCAAGTCATACGCTACGTTCGTATGGCTGCAATTTGCTGTGTTAAAATACAAGAAACGTCAGACGAAAAGTACCACCAACAAGAACTACCAACTGGTGTGTTGAGCACATAGTGTGCTTTACTGGTGGTGTGTTACGCTTGATATAATTTTATTCCATCCACATTGAGGAAAGGAAACAAAAAACATGACACATAACAAAATGTGGATAATGGAAACTATAATGTTGGTTGAAGGATTCGAAAGCAACAACAAGAGAGCATATTGTTTGTCAGGCTCTCGCAATATACGGCATATAGTAAACATTTCATCCATAAAACTCAATTGAATGAAATATACTTGATTACTCATTCGAAATTGTTTAGATATATTTCGGTCGATTCTATCTTATTCTTCTTTTGTTTTAGATGTTTACATTTGTTAATACTTTAGCTCTCTTTCATTCTTCAAAATGCTGATGATGATGATACATTTAATTGGTTAAATAATTTGAATGTCAAGCGATAATCGATTGTTTTGAATTGGATCTTTATATCTTTGGCCGACTGAAAAACCTACGTTATGTTCGCTATATTCGGTGCCAATTCATTGTTATTATTAAAAAATTATGCTGACTCAAGTTCGACGGCAGACATTTTGTTTGATTTCCAATGTGAACACATGTGTATGCATATGTGAAATAAACAAATGTCAAAAGTCGCTTCGATCTCGATTGCGATGTGACAAAATAGAAAATAAGCCCATTAAAATCGTTCATCATTTTATTTAATGAAATTGAGCTTCGGTTTCAAATTTGTACATCTATAAAAAATTTGATGACATCGATAACTCAATACGTCTCAATCGAATCCGTTCCCAATAATTCTCTCTATCTGCCCCTCGTCAAATTTCGAAAAGCGAAAAGAAACGACGAAGAAGAAAAAAAAAACAGAAGAATCGTCCAATAAAATTAATGATAGCGATCATCATCGAATTAAATTTCCATTGAATTGCAACAACAGCAAAGAACGACGACAATAAAGCGACAAACGCAATAATATCGATGCACATTGATCTTTGAAACAATCATTTTTAGCAAAGACCGAATATGTTCAATTGTCGTTGTCGATTCCTTCGGTGCCAAAACGGTAAGACAGTTTGACGAAAGAAAAAAAAAACGAAGACAGTATTGACAGACTGTCACAGTGTGTCTGTGATTGCATCGTAATGTCCACACGCATTTGAAACCAAATAGAGAGAGCGAACCCGTGAGAGAGAGGGAGCGAGTGCGAATGTGTGAGCGAGAAATCGGATGCCGATGTGAATATGTGTGTTGCATAGAAATTGCATTGCGCTAAATACATTGAGCGACCTTAACGATGTCAGGGCTATCATCATCAGAATCAAGTGTGCAATGAACACAAATGCACACACGATATATATACATATAAATATTTTTTTTCGTTCATTCGTTCGTTCGTTCATATACGTTCATCGTTTGTCGTGTGTATTTTTCAAACTCGGTTCGTGTGACTGTTTGGCTGGTTTGTATCGTGCAACAAAGTTAGCGGCGATGATTTCATTTGTATCCGATCTGTCAAAATATGTAATTTAGAGCGATATATAGATGAAATGTGCGATGTTCATGCATCGGAAAAGCATTGATACACTTGATTACACACGCGCAGAGGGAAAGAAAGAAAACTTTATACATATTTTTTTTCATCCTTTGGACACAAGCGGAGTGTGTGTGTATTAAAAAGCACAAAAATATGCGCGCACAAATGAAAATGAAAATTTTTATATTTCGGAATGAATGTTGTAAAATATTGTTTGTTGTGACTTTTACTGCATCATAAAATAACTATCCATTTAAAAGCAATTTGCTGTTCTTTTTCCAATGGAATGTTTTTGTGTGCAATGTTTGTTTTGTTGAAAATAGAAATGAATTCTAGTTAAACAGTAGCTTGGGCTAACTAAAACCTTCGCTTTTTATGGTAATCGCATCTACTGGCACCGCTATTTAATTACAGCACATCTTTTTCAAATCTAACTGCGTCATATTTTGGTGTTGTTGTTTAAAAAAAATATATATATAAAGAAGCACACAATGTTCGTGCTATTTTTTTGTTTCCAAAAGAGAGAAAAATACAGTGGCTGGCAATTTTTTTTCTCTATTCATTAAGAATTCAGTTTGCCGGCTCCCGCCCTCATTCGCGTAAAACGATTGCATTCACAATGACAGGTACAGACAGGGAAAATTGGGAGCATTGAAATTAGGAATAAAATAATCATATCTTTTTTCACTTGCTCGTTCTCTGTTATTCAGTCTTGTGTATGTACCGTGTACACAGAAAAAACACAAAAACGAACAACAATAATTTATAAATGCAACATACAGCATACACAACAAAGAGGTTGAGGTCAAACTCTATTCAACGATCATACAGCAAAACGCACATACACACACACACACATGTTCCATGTGCCGTGATTCATTTGTATTCTTTTTCATTTCTGCAGAGCGAATAAAAAAAATAAGCGTAATAATTTCCAATTAAAATTGAATGCGTTTAATTTGTGAAGTCGTTTTGTGCCCAGGTAACGTGCCACAGTGGATCACATTTTTTGTAACAGAAACAGCGACGAGTCTCTTTGCTTACTCATATGTAATCGCACGCACGTCACTTGCTGTGATCTGGTAATATTATTTAACATGTTTTATTTATTTAAAAGTTGTGTTTCTTTTTTCATCTTTTCTTCTCTGCATTGATTGTTGGTCTTTCTCGGTTGCAATGATTTAACTATTGAAA